TCTAAGATTTAAAATTATTCCCCTTTGCTCTCCCATACCCGAGTACTCTAGGACTCCATGTCCTCAGTCCCCTCTTTTTTTGTCTTTTATAGTAGAAAAACGTTTCCATTTGCACAATGTAACAGCCAGAGAGCAATGCTGCCTGGCACTTTGATACATGCTGTATTTGGGAGAAACGGATTCCAGTACATTCTAGCAAGATTCCTCTGATACTGCTAGTTATGAAGGAAGTTTTCTAGTGAGGAAGGCCCATTTTAAGTCTTACCCTGCTCTTAGTAACAATGACAAGACAATTTGTCTTTCTGGGTCCTGGTCTGGTCTTCCACTCCAATAGTTTTATGGAAAGGCTTCGAAAAGTGAGGAACTTAAGGATGGCCCCTCTCTCCAAATTGTCACATCCCTACTGAGCATGGCTATGGAGAGAGATAGGTAGATTTAACTACATTTGAGCTCTAGAGGAGGGAAGAGCGGACCAGGAGCCGTGTTGTGTTGATAGAGATACTACAGGTTGGTAGTTACAGCTTACAGAGCGCTCTCATTTTAACTATGAAAGAGAGTTTCTTTTTTGCTCAGACCTCCTTGAGCAGTAGGAGGAGAAGGAGTAATACATGGCTGATATGTGCTATTAAATTTGCGTAACATTTTTTTATGATCCATAATATAGAAGCTACTTGGTGCAAACGAGTGAAGACCTGTGTGTGATACTGATGATGAATTGCATTTTACTTTAAAAAAAAAAATCCGCATTTAGAAATACATATACACAAGGGCTCAGTTTGTACCTGCTGTTGGACACAGCTGCTCCTTCTAGGGAGAAACCTACAACCAGAAACTCTGGTCTGTCGATTTTACTTCTATCCCTCTATCCTTCTTACAAAGTTGTTAACAGGTAGTAAAAATGTTTAACTCAGTCTTCTTTCCCTTCCTTCTGTCTCTGGGGGAGAAAAGTGAAATATCCCAGAAGCCGCTGCCAGGAGAAAAAACAGATCTGAATAACGATTGGCCACAGTATGAAACATGTTCTGTAATAGGATTTTATGGAAAAGTTTCTCATTCCAACATTTGCCTCAAATGCTGTGGCACAGACTGTCTAAGTTTGAATGGGGAAAAGCTTGGGGATTGCAGCCCTTCTTTAGAAACATCATAAAAATCACCAGGTAGTGGTGTTTTGTTTTTGCTTTCATTTTTAGACTTCAGTGAAATTGGTGGCTTGCCCAGAATGGGCAGGGGTCAGATTCTGCCTTCCCCTCTGTGGTTGTCCATGCTCAGATCTGGTTCTGACCTGGCCTTTCAGGAAGCAGTATTACCTTGGACAAGTCATTCTCCTCCCTTAGCACCGTTGCCTTCTCTAAAAAGTGAAACGATTGGACTGGGATTTTAAAAATCCTTCCCTTATTAAACAGCTTAGGCTCCATCATGCTGCAATGTTGTATGACCCCCAAGCCTCTGTGGTTTTACAAACAAAGGTTTATTTGCTGCCCACCTGCCACTGTGGGTCGTCTGTGGCTCTGCTTCCAGCCCTCTATGCCCAGGGCTCAGGCTAACAGCCGGCCCTCCCTGCTCATGCAGGTCTCAGAGCAAAGGGAAGCAGAGGTGGAGAACCAGTCACTGGCTCTGGACACTTTCACTTGGGAGCAATAATCACTTCCCATTTCCATTCCCATTTTACTGGCCTGAAAGATGGTCCCAGGAGTAACGAGTTAGGTGAGCGTGACTCCATTGGAGGGCAGCAGACATTTGGAACCGTGGCAGAGGTCCTGCTCCTCCTCTCTTCGCCATCCTTTGACTTAGGCTGAGCATGTTGCCTATTGTGGTGGCAGTATGACCACACTCAGATCCCAAGGTTTTGACCATTTTACATGGCTGTCCCCTGTTTGGGGTACATCTGCTGAACTGGACTTAGAATGAAGATTTCACCTGTGGGGAGGGGTGGGGGAAATATGTTAATAGCAACACGTACCAGACCTCAGAGTTCCTGCTGCCTTATTTGTAGATCTGTGGTCAGCTAGCCCATGCTTTCCAGAACACCACACGGACTTGCTCACTCAGAAGAATGAACAGAACTGCAAAACACCGTAGCAGATGTGCTGAGATGATTCCTCATACATGAATTTAAAAGGGCCTAAGGATCTTAGCCATTCATCTCTAAGTGTTGAAGATACTGTTATGGGGTATAATTTTGGAAGAGTTCTTTGATACCTCTGTTGAAAGTACCATGGCTCTACTGATTTGACCCAATAGGGCATTTTTTCCAACTTTAACTTTCAAACTCCTAGGGGAGGAAGTGACTTGGAAAAGTCACTTATCCTAGATGAGGCCCCCAGAGACTCAGCATGTTAGCTCCCATTAGTAATGTTTAATAACACTGATTATTAGGCAGCCTTTTTAATTTCACTCAGAGACATCTGCATTTAATAAAAAATTAATCTTTAAAAGCAAAATTTGAAAATACAAAATTTTACCTTTATTCAAGAAGCATAATTATGTTCACCAATTCTTAGAGGAAGAGCAGAATCCTAACCTAAAACCTTTCATCAGGCCTCGAGTCAGATGGCCTGTTTCCAGGTCTTTGAATATGAAAAATATTAAAAAGTTTTCCTTGTGAGCTTGGGTTTTCAAAGAGGATCTCTTTGGAAAGTTGGCAAATACTTACTTTCCTGGCACGAAAATTGCTTTTTTTTTTTTTTTTTCCTTTTCCCCTCCACCCAAAGCTATGACAGGGTGGAGTGTACTTCCACGAAATTGCATGTTTCCAAAATAGAATTCACTGTTATGTTTTACTACTGTTATAATTGAGTTACTAATGAAAAATAAGCAAAGACTAGGCATTCTAGAAATAGAATTTCAACTCCTATTGTCTTTTAGTCATCGTATTAGATAGAATTGTAATATTTTTTAAAACTGCCTTTTGTGCAAAACTGTACCAACCAAACAATTTCCAAACTGGTTTGAATTTCATTCTCGTCTCTGCAGTCTTACATGGTAGTACCCACAATCTCATGGTAATAGCACCATATCACTGCTGCTGTTTAGATTCTCTCCTGGTTTGGATGGCTTCCAGAAGAGAGCCCTGCTTTCTTCAGCTCCTTATTTTATATTCCAGCAAAATCCTACACCCAACCTACATGATTAGGAACGCTCCTGGTGTTCCTTGCTGGTGGATTGTGAGTCACTGTTTCCTAGGATAGAATGGATCTGCTACAGAACTTGCTGACACGTTATAGAAGTGATAGTTGTAGATGAAAGTTGGAAGCCGCAGATTTTTAAAAACTAGAGCTATTGTTTTGCTGGCAGATTAATTGGGTACTGGTCGACTCCCAAAGGTATCCACTAATAAATAGTCATAGGTGGTCATTTTCATCTCCAAGGTGACAGGTAACAAAGCTCTACCTCTGGCAGATAATGCCAGGAAAACACCTTTTCAAATGTTTTACTCCTTGGTTCTTGATCACTGAACCCTTAGATAGTACATTAGACAGAAATATGATCAGAGTGGTCAAAAAGATATATGCATCCTTGTAAGTAAGGCAGAGAATGTTTTAGCGCTCTCCAAGATACTCCTCAGCATCTAGCAGACTTAGGCCCATAGAAAGAACATGATAGCTATGGGTTAAAATGATCTGTTTGTCTTCCTGGGTTGGAGAGCAGCAAATAAGTCAAAACCACTCAAGAAGGATGAAAAGGAATGAATGGCATGTAGAGATTCAAACATTTTATAATTAGCAGGAATTGGTGAAATTTACCATTTTCTCCTACCTTGAGATTTTGCTTTCTGTTTTGCTTTGTGATTTTTTTCTAGTTCATATTAGGTTTGACTAAAAAGGCTTTTTAAGTAGCTCCTAGTGTTTGCCCTTCTGATTTGAGTATAGGTTTTTCCCACCAAAGAATGGCGTGGTTGTCTTTACCCTGTTCAGTACATACAAGAGCAGATAAGAAGTCTGGGATTCTACTGGAGTTTGCACGGAGCCCAGTTCCTTCCCACAAACAGGCATTGCGTTGATTGATGTGTAATGACGCCTGTGACATCATCATGGTGGAGCCAGCAGTACTTAGCTCTCAGCACTGATTGCCTCTCTCCAGGAAAGTTGGGCTTTGGGTCACTTCTGGGTTTCCTTGATTGAGATGCCAAATTGAAGTTAAAATAGTGAGTTACAGTTACCAGGAGCAAAAGGGTTGTTAGCATATATCAGGAACTAATGCTAGAAAAGTGTGATTTTTTTTTTTTTTTTTTTTTTTTAGTGGTGACTGTGTGTTGAGAGTATCGTCAAAGGAAGTAGAGTACTGGAAATAAAAGTCTTGAATGAGAAGTTTTCTAAATATTTAGGTAACTCTAAGAGTGCTGTTTGATTGGTAGGGAAGCAATACACTGTATTAGCTCCTGAGGATACTTGTCTAGTCTGAGACTTCATGTGTTTGGGCACAGTTCTGTCCATCTGTACTTTGCTGGTTTGAGAATTTACTTCAGTTTGGAAAGTTGCATCAGATTGGGTTTTTATGATTCAGAGATATGTAAGGTGAAAACTGTATTTGATTTCTCAGTGGAATTACAGATTATTTGGCCTGTTTGTGATCTGCCTTACCAAACTTTTGAGTGTGAAAGGCGATGTGTTTCTAGAATGCATTCAGGAAGGCGCACTGTTGAATGTAGCTTTGGCAGTCGTGTTGTCGTGGGTAGCCAGGTGTGCAAGAGCATTTTCGTTCTTGGACTCTGTTATGAAGATCTGGTCCTTATCAGTAGATTATCCTGCTGGCCTACAAATAAGTGATGCTATGAGAATCCTCTCAAGCTCAGAATGAACAGGATATGGCACCTGCTACATCAAACAAAGATAAACACAGGCAGAGGTCACATTCCATCTTTTATAGAAATGACCTCTATCAGCATCACCTGCGTATCCTGCTGCATACACAAGGTTTCACATCTAGAGACATCTATGTTGTGGGAATATATTCCAAGTGTGTGTTTTTAAGGTTGTTTGTTCCTCTATTCCCATGAACAGATATCAGTATTACCTGCAAGTCAAAAAAGATGTACTTGAAGGACGATTACGATGTACGCTGGAACAGGTGATTCGGCTCGCCGGCCTAGCTGTGCAAGGTAAGACATGGTTATGAGCAGCATGTGAAATCCCATTTTCTGTTTGATCATGGTGTTGCTGGCCTCTCAGAGTGAGAAGTTAGATTTACTTAAATGATCTCTTAGCAATGCTCCCTTTTCATTTTAAGTTACCTTACATGAAAAATGCAAAGTGATTTTTGGTGGCCGGGTAGTAGATTTCTCAAAGCTGTTTGCAAACTTCTCATGCTTGTATAATTACAGTTTTATTTGAGGAAATAGCAGCTTTTATTCTGCCTTTAATTAAGGCTACATTTCAGGGTTTGTGGAAGATTTTCTCAGAATTACTCCACTGCACAATATGGTGACATTCTGTGACTTGATGCTGTAATGGTGTTACTATCACAACTTCTTAGAGTGTGATAGTGTTCAACATTATAGTATTATATATTCTAATGCAGTTAAAGAGAGATTTAAAATCCATGATTGTAACATGAAACAGCAAATGTGTATTGGACTGAATTTATCTTTCATCCTGTCCTGTATAGCTTTATATTACATATCTGGTTTTTGCCTTCTCTAAATTGTTATGTGGGGGACTTTATATGTATACTTATATATTATGGCTTATTGAGTGGTGGCTTAACTGCCTTCAGTTATATTGAAAGCGAGATAGGCTGCCTCGGTGGCTCATACCTGTAATCCCAGCACTTTGGGAGGCCGAGGCGGGTGAATCACTGGAGGTTGAGAGTTTGAGACCAGCCTGGCCAACATGGTAAAACCTCGTCTCTACTAAAAATTCCAAAAATGAGCCAGGCATGGTGGCACACACCTGTAATCCCAGCTATTCAGAAGGCTGGAGCAGGAGAATCACTTGAGCCTGGGAGATAGAGGTTACAGTGCGCCGAGATTGCACCACTGCACTCCAGCCTGGGTGACAAAGCTAGACTTCGTCTCAAAAAAGGAAAATTAAAAACATGTTTTTAAATAAGCGGGAACACGGTAATATCATTTTTGAAGAGAAACTTTTCCTTTTAGTGATTTTCTTGAAAATCAGCTTCTCTGCAAGTGTGAGCCAGCCAGCAGCTGGATTCTTGCTGCGTGGAATGTTGTTTCAGAAGGTGTGAACTGACTTCCCATCCCAAACATTGGACTGAATGGAAGCATCTCGGATCTAAATGTCTGAAGAGGCAGCCCTTCTCCTGACCTCTTTCATTGTGGGGTGTTAACAACTTAGCAATTTTGGTTCGAAGTACAGTTCCCATACAGTTAGCTTCTGTTGTAATTCTGTGGATGGAAACAGGCAAAATCTGATGTGTCGCCTCTGTCTGCTTAAAGACTGGAAGGAGAAGAAACAGTGGCCAGTTATGATAGAGAAATCAGTGGTAGCATTGTTGAAATAATGGTGAAGATCAATATGCCACTCATCTTCAAATTGAGTCTTTCTCCTTTTAAAAAGCTTTCGTTGGGATGGGTGTGGTGGTTCATGCCTGTAATCCCAGCACTTTGGGAGGCCAAGGCGAGAGAATTACTTGAAGCCAGCATCCAGGAATGCTGGCTTTGCTGGAGTTTGAGACCACCCTGGGCAACAAAACGAGACCTTGTCTCTACAAAAAAAAAATTAAAACTAAAAAATTAGCCCAGCAGGGTAGCACACACCTGTAGTCCCAGCTTCTCAGGAGACTGAGGTGGGTGGATTGCCTGAGTCCAGTAGTTTGAGGCTGCGGTAGGCTATGATCAGTTCACTACACCCAGCCTGGATGTCAGAGCAAGACCCTGTCTTTAAGAAAATTAAACAAATAAATAAAAAACGTAGTTTACTACAGGTACTCTTTCCTCTCACTACTCAGTCATTAGGCTTATTGTGGGCATCCTGGATACTGGAAGATCCTTGAGGAATTTGGTGAACTTACTCAGGATTCCGTTTTCATTGGGTTCTTGAAGCTAGCTGTTGAGTCCGATGAAACCTCCTCTGATACTTTTCAAATAACTTTTTTGAGAACCCTTACTGAAGGTTTTAGAAAGATACATTAATAGAAATATAAGTTGTGGTGGAATGTGATAACCAATGATTGAACTTGGAAATAGGCAGAGTGCATGATTTTTGCTATTCTTGAATGCTGCACCTAATTGGTAATTAGTTACATGCTGAGTTTGTAGGCTCATATTTATTTTTTACCTTCTCAGCAACTTCTCAACATTGGTGCATGCTTGTGTGTATGTATCCTCTCATTCTATGTCTCGTTACCTTAAAGATACCTGGATCCATTTCTATCTGATGCTAAATATTTTACATGAAATTAAAGTTTCATGCAGGTTTAGTTTTTAGGAGAGCAAGTGAGATAAGAAGCAAGACACTTATATATTTCATTTTGCATGTGCTCAAACTGTTCCACTCTGAGATGAAGACAGGAAAACAGAATTTTTGGCATCTTGTAACATGTGAAATTATTTAGGAGGTGTAAAGATATTTGAGGTTGCTTGCCAAGGGTGATTTACAGTGGGAATTTCCAGCTGCAAATATATGAAAAGATGCAGATGCATTTGGCTCTTCAGTTCTCCAAATTAACCTTGAGTTAAAAAGTCCCCTTGGCAGATGTTCTTAAGATACAAATTGATGCATGTTTAACAAACAGATAAATACAGGTTTGTTTAACATTTTTGAAGTGACCTTTAGGAATTGTTTTCAAATTTCATTATTTCCAAAGAATCGTTTAGTAGTGCTTAAATGCTGATATTTACCATGTTGTTATATCTAAGTAACTATGTCAAACATATCTCGGCACAATTTTATTTAATAATAGTGAGAAAATAGGATGGCGTGAGTAATAATGTGTTGATGAATTTGCCCTATTGTATTTCATCTTTAATTTCATATAATAAACACCAGCCTTCTACCTTCTTTTCTTCTCAGCTGATTTTGGAGACTATAATCAGTTTGATTCTCAAGATTTCCTCAGAGAGTATGTGCTGTTTCCTATGGTAAGTGTGATTTTTTTTTCTTACCTTCTTTAGACATTGAGTTCTTTCCTTTGAAAATTTCAGTATTTTACATATGCATATTCCCTGGGGGAAGAGTCTATGGGTTTATAAAGTAGGGACAGGTTTTCTGAAACACACTGAGTAGGTAAAAATGCCTCCTTCTGCCTCAAGACACCTCCCTATTTTCCTTTTCAGATAATTTCTTATTAGTATATAAAAATGCTACTGATTTTTCTATGCGGATTTTGTAACCGGAAACTATACTAAATTTGTTTCTCAGTTCTAAGAGATTTTTTGTGGAATCCTTAGGGTTTTCTACACATAAGATCATGTCATCATCAAGCATGCTACTTTCCTATTTGGCTGCTTTTTATTTTCCTTGCCTGATTGCTATGGCTAGGACTATGTTTAATAGAAGAAGTGAGAGTTGCTATGGCTAGGACTATGTTTAATAGAAGAAGTGAGAGTTGGCAGAAAAAAATCCAGTTTACAATGGCTTTAAAAAAACAAACAAACCCTAGAGTAAATTTAACTGAGGAGGTGAAAATTCTGTATATTGGAAACTATAAAACATTGATGAAAGAAATTGAAGATGACACAAATGGAAAGATATCCCATCTTCATGGATTGGAAGAATCAGTACTGTTAAAAGGTCTACTGAAAGTAATCTACAGATTAATTCAATCCCTATCAAAATTCCAACATCATTCTTCATAGAAATAGAAAACAATCCTAAAATTCATGTGGAATCACAAGGGACCCCAAATAGCCCAAGTAAATTTGAGCAAAAGAATGAAGCAGGATACACCTTATTTCAAACTATATTTCAAAGCTATGGTAATTAAAATAGCATGGGACTGGCAAAAAAATAGATACAAGGACCAGTGGAACAGGATAGAATGACCAGAAGTAAATCATACACATCTATAACCAATAGATTTTTCAACAGAAGGGCCAAGAACACATTAGTGAAAGGGCAGCATCTTCAGCAATTGCTGCTGGGTAAACTGGCCATCTACATGTAGAGGATTGAGTTTGTATCTTTATCTCACCCTTTGTACAAAATTCAATTCCAAATGTATTAAAGACTTAAATATAAGACTTGAAAGTATAAAACACTAGAAGAAAACATGGGGGAAAAGCTACATGACATTGGTCTGGGCAGCAATTTCTTGCATATGACCCCAAAAACACAGGCAACAAAAGTGAGAACACATGGACACAAAGAAGGGAACATCACATTCTGGGGCCTGTCAGGATGTGGGGGGCTAAGGGAGGGATAGGAGGGAGTGGGGGATTGAGGAAGGTAGGAGAAGTACCTAATGTAGATGATGGGGAGATGGATGCAGCAAACCACCATGGCAGGTGTAAACCTATGTAACAAACCTGCACATTCTGCACATGTACCCCGGAACTTACAGTACAATAAAATTAAATGTTCTCACCACAAAGAAATGATAACTATAGGCCGGGCGTGGTGGCTCAAGTCTGTAATCCCAGCACTTTGGGAGGCCGAGGCGGGTGGATCACAAGAGATCGAGACCATCCTGGTCAACATGGTGAAACCCCGTCTCTACTAAAAATACAAAAAATTAGCTGGGCATGGTGGCGCATGCCTGTAATCCCAGCTACTCAGGAGGCTGAAGCAGGAAAATTGCCTGAACCCAGGAGGCGGAGGTTGCGGTGAGCCGAGATCGCACCATTGCACTCCTGCCTGGGTAACAAGAGCGAAACTCCGTCTCAAAAAAAAAAAAAAAAAGAAAAAGAAAAGAAATAACTATATGAGGTGATAGATATGTTAATTAGACTGATTTGCCCATTCCACAATGTATACATGTGACATGTGTCACAACATCACATTGTACCAAAAATAGTTGCAATTATTATTTGTCAGTAGAAATAAAGGTTTTTGTTTTGTTTTGTTTTTAAGATGGAGTCTCGCTCTGTTGCCAGGCTGGAGTGCAGTGGCGTGATCTTGGCTCACTGCAACCTCTGCCTCCTGGCTTGAAGCAATTCTCCTGCCTCAGCCTCCTGAGTAGCTGGGGTTACAGGTGTCCACTAACATGCCTGGCTAATTTTTGTATTTTTAGTAGAGACGGGGTTTCACCATGTTGACCAGGATGGTCTCGATCTCTTGACCTTGTGATTCACCCGCCTCGGCCTCCCAAAGTGCTGGGATTACAGGCGTGAGCCACTATGCCTGGTCCCTGTTTTTGTTTTTTAACAAAAAAGACACCTACCTACTTTCCTTCCTTCTCCCCCATTCACCGTCTACCCTCTGGCATGCTGGCCCCCCCCCCCTTTTTTTTTGTCAGAACATACTGAGCTTTTTCTCACCCCACAGCCTTTGTACATGGGCTTCCTCTGCCTGGAATGCTCTGCTCCAGATCTTTATGACATTCAGGTCTCAATTCACCATTACCTCCCAGAGAGCACTTCCATTCCTTGACCACCTGTCTCATATACCCTTCCTGTTAAATCACTTTTCATATGTGTACTTCTGTTCATTCTTATGTATGTACACTTGTATGTATTTATTATTGGTCAGCTCTGTGGTCTTTAGGCAGGGACCACCTGTCTTGTTCACTGTCATCTGGCACACAGACTGTGCTCATAAAAATTTTACAATGAATCAATAAAGTAAAATTCCCATTCCTGGGTGGAAGTAAAGATAAGGCTAGGTTGTAACGCCTGGGGAATTTTTCTTGGTTGGTTGGTTGGTAGCTTCAGGGTAAAAGAAAAGAGTATTAAATGGGAAGGATTAAAACTTTTTGAAAACCATTTTAGGGAACAGCTATAACCATTCAACCTCCTGGCTCTGGTTTCAGGAATCCGATCATTCACTACTTATTTTTTTGGTCAACTCCTTTACCCCAAGCACTGACGTGGGTAACTAACACCCAGGGGATGAAATTATATAAGAAATGGTGCTTGTTTTCAAGGAGACTACAGTGTGGTTGGTTAAATAGGAAGTTTGCAAAATCAGAATAAAAAGCCAAGTATAATAAAGTGTGATCAAAATGTTATGTGGAGAGAGGTCACATGCACTTGGGGGATTAGGGAAGGCTGGAAGACTGCTGGCCTGTGAGCTGTGAGGCAAAGAGGTAGGGAGCAAGGAATGATTTAGACAGAGGATAAGCAGCGGCAGCGTGGCCTGGGTGTTCGGAAAGCATCCGCTGGCTGGTTTGACTGTAGCTACTGGAGACAAATTGTGGTAGATGAGATTGGAAACTTCTGCAGAGTTAGAACAGGAGCATGGGCTCCTTCGAGTTCTGCAGACCCCACACTTTGAGATCTGCTAGATTCAAGCTGGTCAGCTGGGAATCTGTTGTAGTGTTATGGGCAAAGGATATCATTTAGATGTTCATGAAAGAAAAACAACAAAGCAAAGCAAGTGATATTTTGAAGTAAAATAGCTGAAATCTGGCAACTTAGTGATGGCACGTGGGAGAAAGTGGAGTGTCTGGTGACAAAGGTTTTAAGTTTTGAGAGACTAAGTAACGGAATTATTCATATTAGTGCATGAGGTCAGTCTAATTTGGTCAAAGGCTAATCGTGTTCCTAACAGGGAATATTGCATATCTTTAACTTTTTATGAATAACTTTATTCTTTTTTTTGAGACGGAGTTTTGCTCTTGTTGCCCAGGCTGGAGTGCAATGGCGTGATCTCAGCTCACTGCAACCTCCGCCTCCTGGGTTCAAGCAATTCTCCTGCCTCAGCCTCCCAAGTAGCTGGGACTACAGGCATGCACCACCATGCCCAGCTAATTTATGTATTTTTAGTAGAGACGGGGTTTCACCATGTTGACCAGGATGGTCTCGATCTCTTGACCTCGTGATCCACTCGCCTTGGCCTCCCAAAGTGCTGGGATTACAGGTGTGAGCCACCGCATCTAGTCTCCATTCTTACTGTATTTCCCTTCAAGTAAACAGTGATATTATCTGCTGTGCTTGCTGTTTTTATACTTTATTAATTCTACTCATTAAATGAAACTCCAAAGAGATTAATATATTACTTAGCAGATAAGTTCTTCATAGGGCTTAATGTGAATATGCTTGAGTCAACATTTCTAGTGTCTCAGAATCTCATCCCAAAAGTCAGGGTGTTTTCCAGTGTGCCTGATGGGAGGAAAGTGAGGCTCAAGCCTTAGAATTTTAAAGTGTGCACATTTTTGTGTCAAATGAGGTTGTTGGTAATGGGGGAGTGATAATTTCTCACATTTTATTCACCTTACTCTCATTAAAGGCCTTTATTACATTGCCTTTAGGAAGGGACCGGGTTTGGGTGCTTCTCGGAGTTTTCAAAGGTGATTAGCGGCATGATATTTATGAGTTTGTAGACGGTAAAATGCCCTGACAGGTTAAAGTGCTGTGAAGTCGTAAAGGAGTTATTTTGTGCATCCTACCTCGTTGAGAATAAGACTGTTACCACTAAACTCTTGGCAAATCAAATACTTAAACAGCATAGACTTCATAAGTCTCATCAGTGGACGGGCAAATATTGACAGTTATTTTTGGATCTAAAATGACTCTCTTCAGGATAGTAGCTGCTAGTCATGTGTGGATATTTACATTCAAATTTAACTTAATGAAAGTTAAATAAAATTAAAAATTTAGTTGCTTGATTGCATTGGCTAATTTTTTTTTTTTTTTTGAGACAATCTTGCTCCGTCACCCAGGCTGGAGTGCAGTGGCGCAATCTCATCTCACTGCAACCTCCGCCTCCCGGGTTCAAGCGATTCTCGTGCGTTAGCTTCCTGAGTAGCTGGGACAACAGGCACATGCCACCACACTTGGCTAACTTCTGTATTTTTTGTAGAGACAGGGTTTTGCCATGTTGGATAGTCTGCTCTCGAACTCCTAGCCTCAAGTGATCCACCCTCCTTGGCCTCCCAAAGTGCTGGGATTACAGGCTGAGCCACTGCAACGCCGCAGCTACCGTTTTAGTGCACCATAGCCACCTGTGTCTAGAGGCTACTGTATTGGAAAGCCCACATATGGAACACTTTCATCATCCCAGAAAGTCCTGTTGAATGCTGAAGATGATGTGGCAGAAGCCTTATCTGAGTTGTGAATATTCCTAGGCTTTGGTCACCAGCCATCCACTTTCAGCCCCTTCCTCCTTGTATCCGGGTGCACTGTGACCTGTGGCTGGCAGTTCCATGGCATCTTTGCTGGGCAGTGCTGTGACCCTATTCTCACTGTGCTCCTTATTTGCTGTATGACTTTGGGCAAGTTAATTAACCTTTCCAAGCCTCAGGTTTCTCATCTAAAAATGAGAGTAACAAGCCTTACTTCATTGTGAACATTAAAGGACATAGTCCACGTGAAATCCCTAGTTTGAAATACATAATGCAAGTTGGCAGATAGTAAATTCTCAGTAACTGTTTATTTAGTTGTCTTATTATTGTTATGAGCACTATTATTCTGTCTCTGTGTCTTCCAAATATAAGGCTATTGAGGAGTATGCTTTCCAGATAGCATCACTCTATGCTTTATTTTTTTGATTTTTTGTAAACAGAGCACATGCAAATGGTACAAGTGATTGTTTAGCAGCTCTGTGTAATTAAACTTTTGACAATATGAAATTTACGTGTCACATAGTAAGTTCAGTTCAAGAAACATGTATTGATCACTTGCTATATATTGAGCCCTTATAAGCTGTGGCTGCACAAAAGCCCTGTGAGAGGCCCCTTAAGTGATATGAAGAATTGCTGTCCTTGAGGACCCTGTACTCTCATAGAGGGTGGGAGACAAGGATCAAGGATAAGACGAGTATACACATAAGTGTGTAAGAAATGCGGTAGCCCGAATATGGGAAGAGACACACGCACAGAGTAGAAGAGGTAGTTCAAAAGGAAAAAATGCTTATGTCCAGTTGGGGAGACAGGAGAGCCCTATCGAGGTAAGTGGTAGCTGAGACAGGCCCTAAGTTGTGGCATTTCACATTGTATGATGTGACAGGATGGTTCTCCCAGGGAGGATGGGCACGTAAAGGCCCATCCTTTACAAATGGATGTAAAAGCAGTGTGTGTTAGAAGAGGAGCTGGCCTGGGACTTGACCTGTTGGGCAAGGAGGTCTGGAAGGGGAAGCTGAGTCACACTGAAGAATGGTCTGCATGCCAGGCCCAGGTGTTGACCTCGCTGCATAGGCCGGGGAGGAGTCATGGAAGGGTGTAAACTTTGTGCTTGGTTCCACTAGAGCTTTCAAAGAGAATGCATTCCTTTGGTGGGGGAGGGAAGACAGGATGAATGGCTGTGTTTGATCTTATAAAGTAACCAAATTTGTTAAATGGCATTTATTCAGCAGAGAAAAGAACAAAGTCAAGTACACAGGGCGCTCCGCAGGTGTGTGGCTGTGTACAGGCATGCACCCTGCCATTTTTCATTCCCACAGGGCCACACTCGCGCTCTCTCTGGAGGGGCACATACCTCAGGGAGGCCCCAGGTGCAGATGGAGGCGGTTAAGTTGAGAACAATAGCAGAGGGGGTACCTTTGGGATTCTTCTTTTCAAAAAGTAGGAAACGGAGATTTAATGGAACACTTTTTGATCTTCACTTTATTTTATTCTGTTGCCACATGCCCTTCATTAGCGTTTCAAAATTAATGGGGTTTTTACTGCTACTCAGTATCTAGATGCACACACATAGCTAACTTTCTAAACTTTGTGGAATCTTTGTTCCTCCACAACATGAAACTGAAAATGTTGAGCTTATTTCCTGTCATGGACTTGAGTCATTTCAATGGCTGGCTAAACAGGAAACTGCCAATTAATCAGTTACGTGGAAAGTAAGAGCTGCCATAATTCCCCGTCTGCTCTAGGGTCTCTCATGAACTCTAGAGTTAGCAGGATGTGCAAAGCTGTAGAAATTTTAGCATATAATTGTATCTTTGCTTTCCAGTTTTAAAAAATATTGATTGTTCACATTTCAATGATTTGAGATGGGATGTTTTTCACAGTTTTGAGGTATACATATTTAGGGGTAGTGTTTTCATCCATGAAAAGTTACTAAGTTGGAGATAAATCTTTATATAAATGGTGTTTTAGAATCAAGGGAATGGGGCATTTGGTATGATTTCTGCCAAAACATCAGTCTCTGTCTTCCATCCCAGTAGGGTAAGATTCAGATACCCTCATTGGGATGCAGCTTGGAGTCCCTTTTGACATCCTCTCTGGAGCTCACAGGAAAATGGTGCCCATCTGTACTAGCCTGGAATCTGTAGGAACTGCTCTCCAGGAAAGCTAGAGTTCCCTGGCTTATTGCTGGAGCCCCAGGCCACCACAGGCATGAGACAAACTTTAGAATCTCTAGCTCTGTAACTTCTCAAGAATGGATTGCTTTGGTCTGCTCATTTTGGATTATTCCTCCTGATTCCATCTCACCATCCTGAACCGTGTTTCCCTGGTCAGTGTTAGCAAGCCTGTTTCCATGATGTTAAGGAAGGGGAGTTGGGAAAAGTTGTGTGTAATCGGTTCTTCTGAGCCCACAGTAGTCAGCACATCACCGGTTCCAGGGACCTGGCCTTCGGTTGATAGAGATGCTGACAAGGCAGCTACATACCTGTTGCCTTACAGAGCTCTCTGGAGGCTTCCCCTGCTGCCATGACCGTCAGGTAACATCGGAATGCGCCTACTCTTCCTTCGGTGGTTTTGAATTAGTTTCCTGGTATTGTGCAGGTGGACAGAAAGGCCTGGCCCAATCCCTTCCTAGGCTCAACTTTTGAAGAGATGATGGCCTGAAAAATCATTGGCCTATACCCTGATCATTAGATATATAGAAGCCATGCAAAGCATTTTTTATAAACGTACATCTGAGAGGCAGGCAGGTAGAGAGGGAAGAATGAATGGCAAGAGCTAGTCTCAGGCACCACAGAACTCAGGTGGCAACCCAAAATATACCTGGAAATAAGCCTGTTATTATGGAGAGCCATGTTATAACAGTAGAAATCATAACTCAGTTCTAATAATTAGAATCTTTAATTCTACAACAGATATTGAAGAAATCAGGAACATCTGAGGAAGGGAGCTTTTAAGGTTTACAAGCAAAATAGCAAATGCCCACACCCTCTTGTAACCTTCAGCACTTTCTATTCCTATAGGATTTGGCCCTGGAAGAGGCTGTTCTGGAGGAGCTGACCCAGAAGGTAGCCCAAGAGCACAAAGCCCACAGGTAAGGCAGGTGGAGGGTAAGGGGCTGCCCGCCGCACAGATGTTTACTGTACATGGGACAGGAGGCATTTATCTCCCTATCTGCAACTCTGGGCTTGAGTCAACACATTCGCCTTGCTTCTACCACGTGACTCAGCTCTGTACTTCAGTTCTGAAAAGGTGAATGTTGACTTGAAGACTGCTCTGGTCCTTCCCCCCTCCCTCCCTCCCTCCCTTCTTTTCTTCCTCTGAGAATCTGGGAAGCCTGAGACAGCCTGTGCCAATAGAGTGAAGACCTAAAGTGCTGTGTTGGGTCATAGGCAGGTGAAGGAAGGAAAAGGAGAGAAACTTTAAGGAAGCACCAGGAGTTTGATATCAATGCCTATGCAGTGATTCTAGGTTCTCTCATCCTGGCCTCCTTCTTTTTTTTTTTTTTTTGACAGAGTCTTGCTCTGTCACCCAGACTGGAGTGCAGTGGTGTGGTCTTGGTTCACTGCAACCTCTGCTTCCCGGGTTCAAACAATTCTCATGCCTCAGCCTCTCGAGTAGCTGGGATTATATGCACATGCACTACCTCGCCCAGCTGATTTTTGTATTTTTAGTAGAGACAGGGTTTCATTGTGTTGGCCAGGCTGGTCTCGAATGCCTGACCTCAAGTGATCTGCCTGCCTCGGCCTCCCAAGGTGCTGGGATTACAGGTGCGAGCCATAGCCATTTGACGCCCAAAGTATTATCCTCATGATAAACCTTTTCCTTTTTTCTTGCTTTAAAAAAAAAATAATGAAGATTTCTCCCAAATGGGAGAAAAATAACTTCTTTTTAAAGCAGGCAGCATATTCAAAGGGAGGTCTGGAATAATTATTTCATGTTTATAGGGCTGTGGCTTTTAATTAAATCTTTACCTTCCTCTTATTATTCCGTGTTGAGTGAAAGGCTACTGGGGAAGATGTTAATGAATTACTTAGTAATGTACCGTACCCTCACGGTTGGGTAATGATTGCTCTTTCCAGACTCTAGAGCTAAACCACAGCTCTGGAATTTGCCATCAGGAGGGTGGGATCTTCCACTGGCTGTCGTTAACCATTTCCTCCTTTGATGCTATTTTGATTTTAGTGGAATCCTGCCAGCAGAAGCTGAACTGATGTACATCAACGAAGTTGAACGTTTGGATGGATTTGGACAGGAAATCTTCCCTGTAAAGGTAACACACTGTGCTCTGTGTTGGCTTTAACCTTCTCAGAATGGTACTGGCATTTGGAAAATCAATGTTGATAGCAGTGGGCCAGAATGGCTTGGCCTTCTTTTTGCTATGCAGCATTAGTTGGCAAGTCCAATTTATTATAGATAAACAATTTTTTTTTTCTTAGCCAAGAGATTTTGAAGTTTTCTGTGGTCCTCAGCATAATAGCTCAATAAGACAGTCCATTTAAGTGAGTACCAAGCATCAGCCGATCCAGCACTTCAGAGGTATCAAGGCTGATATCCAGCCCTATGACAATGCAAGTAGCTAATGTCATGTGTAACATTAATCAGGATTCTAGCCAGTGGTTTTCTTATTCTGGTTTCCTCTTCATTGAGCCAATATAGAGATAATTGTTTGTGAGGTAGAATGAAATGTTTCCTGTATCCAATCATATTTTATTTCTCCAGCTCTGTAGGGTCCTCCATTGTGGGTTCCAAGACCCTTTGATGTTTTATGGAAACTGTGCCTGGGAAATGGCTACAGCGCATCACATTCTTTGCAGCACATCCACCTCCTGAAGTGGGTGTGGTTGGGGGGGGTCATGGAGCCTAGTCATTCATAGAGCTGAGCCCATCATCCAAACTCATTTTCCACTCTCTGCTGACCTACTTTACAAAAAATGGAGATTTATCAGAAACCCAAAGCAACTGGCACATTTCAGCAATTTGGGAGACGCCTGCATTTTCAGCACAAACATTTCACTCCAGACTGGCTCCGCTGGCTGTTTTATAAGTGTTCGGTTCCCCCTCTGTTGCACGTTTGCAATTTGCCTTAATGAGAACTGCTGATGTGCATCAAGTAGGATCGAGCAGGGTGGCCGCAGCTTTCAGAAAGGGCTAAATGGCTCTTTTTTAGATTTGTTTAATTTTCTTTTGCTTCTCTAATAGCTGCCCTTCATAGGGTTGTAATCCATTTTTCTTGCAATAATGCCTTATGAAGCCATCTGCATCCCACTTAGATTTCTGCAGCCCATATATAGTCATATTTTGGGTCATTGAAAAATCAGAGTAAACTTTTCTCCACTTCTAGAAAACTGACTTCTCAGTCCCTGGAAGTTGGAGGTTTTGTTGTGGCGATTTGCTTGTGTTGTTTTTTAGTAATTCTGGACTGCGGGAAACGGGCAGTTGAGGTCATGTTGAAATCTGCTGTGGTTGGTTCTGATGTGCTTTCTAGTATGTTCTTTCTTTATGGAACCAACAGGGTTATAAAACCTTCCTCCGAGTTGGAAGACAGGCGCTTCTGACTCATTGCCAAGTTGTGCTGACTGAGCTGCACTGCCTGTTTTCCTCTTTCCCCCCACATATCTGCATATCTAAGGTGACCAACTATAGACTGCATGATTTTTGGTGACCCGAGGATGAGTGTGGGAGCGACAGTAATAGTGGGGGTGGCGATGTGGTCAACTCTGCAATAAGTGAAAAAGCATACAAGAAAATATGCAGGGAACTGGAGTCTCTTTTGATTGGCACAGGTTCTTATTGACAAAAGAAAAAGTGTGTCATGGTACATCCTAGGAAAAATATTTGAATTTAGCATGGGCTTTTTCATGAGTGGTTCCGTAAAAATTATGAAGACTGGGAGAGTATCAGCCCACTTCCTAACAAGTCTGCCCCTCCTCTTCCACGGATACAGACTCTGGCCACTGCCTGAGTCGCTCCTGTATTGTCAGAGCACATAGACAAGGCAAAGTGTGCTTTTGGAATGGGTAAGGCAGAGTCTGGAGCCTTTATCCATTGCTAGGTTGGACTTCAAGCCCTTAAGCTTTGACCAGTGCAGTGTCCCCAGCATACTGGGTAGAGTAGCTTCCAGAGGCACCTCTGCTGTGTGTTTTCCATTGCCCCACCCAGGTGAATGACTCTTCCCTTATCCCATCCCTACAGATCCACCCACAAAGTGCCCAGGGAAGTGTTTCTGCAGAATTCCTCTTTCTCTTTCTGACTCTACTGCTCCTATCTTCTTTTCTCCCCATACCTTCTGTAGGGTAACTTACTGTTTCAGCTTCTCAGAATCACCATTATGGGACCCCGCTTCTCTTTCATCTTCGCTGGTTCTTTGTCTCTCAGCACTGTTTTTGCTTTGCCACCAACAGGGATTGTACTTTCTCCCTATCTCTGTTAGAAGACTTACTGGAATGTAAGCTTTAGGGGGTGAGTTGACAAGTGTCTTCTTCATGCCTTAAATGGGATCGAGTATTCCAGGGAATGTAGAAGTCCTTCTTTTCCATTTTAGTTCTAGCTGTGCATGCCCCCACTCTTGCTTTAGAAAGAAGACGTCCATCTAAGTGAGTACCAAGCATCAGCTCATCCAGCACCTTTACCCCCAGGGGAAAGCAGGATTTCACTTCAGGGACTAACAGTTTATCTACTAGGTGTGTTGTTCCCACTCCGCTCTCAGAACCCTGGCAGCCAGGTGATGCTTGCCCACACAGGAGATTGGAAGCATCTGACTGGACCAAGAGACCAGGCTGAAGATAAGAATATGACATCTGGGGTTCCCCAAGACAGGGCTTAGGAGATCAGCCACCAGTGAAGTCCACAAGCTCCTCCTGTGCTTAGAGAGCTCCCAGCCAACATTTAGCAACCGATTCTCAAATGCGAACGGATAGTCAAGTGTCACCCTACCCAGTGTCGTAATAGGTAAGACAGAGACCAACATCATAAGAACAGCTGTGGACTAGCAGACGCAGGTATTGTGCAGGAAGAAGAACCCCCTGCTCAAAATACTAGTGAGCCTCAGGATTTTAAATTTTTTTTTTTGCCTCCTTGAAGGAATAAGTTACTTACAAAAAGATGCATTTAGAAAACAAAAATAAACTCTGAAATTAAAAATGTGGTATCAGAAATGTACAACTTAATAGACAGATTAGAAGATAAAACTGAGAAAATCTTGCCAAAAAAACAAAGTAATGGAAAGTCAGGGACGGGAGATTAAAAAGTTAGAGGACCTGTCCAGGATGTCCACTGTTTAAACAATGGGAGTTCTAAAAAGTGTGAACAAGGGAAATGTAATTATTTGATAAAATATCCCTGCACCGAGGAATGGGAGGTTCTGCACTGAAAGGGCCAGGCGTGGTGGCTGCAAAGAGACACATAGAAGTCTTTAAGAGGTGAATGAATGTTTTGGCCTCTCGGCAAAGGAAGGTGATAGGCACAGGTCTGCTCCTTGCTTCCTTTAAACAAGCCCTGAAGAATATTCAGCTTGTCAAACTATTGCATGTATAATGATTTAAAAAGCAAAAGCTCTGGTAAGGTTAAAAAAATAAAAGACATTAATAGATGTTCATAAAAGAGAAAATTCAAATGCCAATGAATCTGACAAAATCCAGAGATTCTCTCTTAAACTGGAAATGCGTTGTGACGAATTGAGAAAAAGAAAAAAAAATCTATCTCTTTCTATATATAGTCCATCAGGAGGTGTGGTGGGTGAGTTCCTGTAGGACTTGACCCCACAGACACAGCTGGTCACCTTACTGCTCTGATGTTGTCTATGATTCATTCTACTTGTGGGTGAGAAATGGGGTGTGATACCTGTGGGTTTTGAAATATATGTATATTGTGGAGTGGCTAAATCAAACCAAGTAACATATGCATTACCTCAGATACTTATTTCCTTGTGATGAGTACACTTAAGATTTACTCTTTTAGTGATTTCAAGAATACAGTATATTATGGCCGGGCGCAGTGGCTCACGCCTGTAATCCCAATGCTTTGGGAGGCTGAGGATGGAAGATCACTAGCCTGGGTGGCATGGCAAGACCCTGTCTGGAAAAAAAAAAATTAGGCATGGTGTCACATGCCTGTAGTTCCAGCTACTTAGGACCCCAAGATAGGAGGGTTGTCTGAGCCCAGGAGGTCAAGGCTGCAGTGAGCCAAAATCATGCCACTGCGCTCCACCCTGGGCAACAGTGAGACCCTGTTTAAAAACAAACAACCCACCAATACATTTTTACTAACTATGCTGTGGTCACCACGAGATCCTGAACTTACTCCTCTTGTCTAACAAGTCTTTATTTCCTTTGACCATCGTCTCCCCATTCCTCCCATTCCTCCCATTCCCCAGCCTCTGGTAACCACCAGTATACTCTCTGCTTCTTTTTTTTTTTTTTTGAGACGGAGTTTCGCTCTTGTTACCCAGGCTGGAGTGCAATGGAGCGATCTCGGCTCACCGCAACCTCCGCCTCCTGGGTTCAGGCAATTCTCCTGCCTCAGCCTCCTGAGTAGCTGGGATTACAGGCATGCGCCACCATGCCCAGCTAATTTTTTGTATTTTTAGTAGAGATGGGGTTTCACCACGTTGACCAGGGTGGTCTCGATCTCTTGACCTTGTGATCCACCCGCCTCGGCCTTCTAAAGTGCTGGGATTACAGGCTTGAGCCACTGCGCCCGGCCTACTCTCTGCTTCTATGAGTTCAGTTTTTTAGATGCCACATATAAGTGAGAACCTGTGGTATTTGTCTTTCTGTACCTGGCTTATTTCATTTAGCATTATGTTCTCTAATTCCACGTGTATTGTGGCAAATGACAATTTTGTTCTAAGGCTGAATGGTTCTTCCTTGTGTATATGTACCTCATTTTCTTCATCCATTCGTCTATGGATGGACGCTCAGGTTGATTCCATGTCTTAGCTATTGTGAACAATGAATGTTGCAGTGAACACGGGTCATCACAGGTCTCTCTTGTTGGTCTTACCCAGGACAATCATGGAAACTGTGTACACCTTGGCATTTTCTTTATGGGGATTTTCGTGAGGAACAGAATTGGAAGACAAGCAGTAATATACAGGTAGTCTTGTTTGTTTTTCTTTTTTCTTTTTCTCCTTGAGGGACTCTAATGTTAATGTTAATTAACATGTTAATTAGGGTTATCTAAATGAGTTAAGAGCCAAACTGGATTCGATTTGACCTTTCTCAGCTCATACAAGGTGAGCCCTCTGCAGGATTTATGCCGTTAAATTCATCTCACTTTTTGTAGAAACCCTTTCCACCTGGCTCCAGGAAATACATTGTTGAACCCTATGAGTTAGAAGAGTGAAACTAAACTTCCTGAGTCTGGCTGGAAACTGACTCTCCAATCAGTCATTAAATCTCAAGGCTTCTTTCCATTGTTCTGCATTCTCTGCCTCAACGTGTGCCAATAGAGCGCAAACTGATTTTTATGTGAACAAAAGGTGATTATTTTTAAAAACATGTTTTGAAAATGCAATCTATTTATTACGATGAATTAGAAGGCTTTGGTACTTTTAATTATTTTGACACGTCAGTCCTCTTTTCCACTTATCAGGCCTGGTACCAGTATAGAGATGCAGACAGCTCCTGCTGCATTTCATGTCAGTATGCTTGCTTTGTATTGGTGCCCTGAAAAACTGTTCTGTCATTCATTCACAAGGCAACATGGCCCGTGATTGGAAGGACAGCTTTCTTGTATGTGTGTCTGATAGGCGGATCTGTGTATCCAGGGCACATGATCACAGATAGCCCTTGGAGGCAAGCAGGGCCCACCTTCTGGAAGTGACTCTTGATTGGCCATAAACTCTCTGGATCAGCAGCTACTGTAGGTCACTTTGAGACAGTTTTCTACCGAAAAGCTTCCTGATTGGCTTTTATTTTCTTAGATCCCCAGTCTGCCATTGTTTTTTTGATATTCTCTTGCTCTCCGAATAGAGACATTTTTGAAGAGGAATGACAAGAGAGATCTTTCAGGATATAAGATAAACTTTTGGACTTAGCGTCAGCTTCATATACCTGCCATGAAGTAAGAATTCATTGAGGAAAACACGTAAATATGTGCAGAGTTGTAACTATAAATTTTTATACCCATTCAAAGCTATCCAGGCATTTTGGCCTACCAGTTCTCCATAGTTAAACTGATGTTTCAGTTTCTCTTTGAACCTACAGCAGAGAAGTAAACAAGTCGGGCACGCTGGCTTTTGAAGTGAAATAGAAGAAAATTGCAATTTGGAAATTTTATGAGCATAAGCCACTCACAGGTTTTGCTTAGTTTCCGTAGGATCTGCTTCCAGACCTTTTCGTTTATCTTGAAACCACTGCAAGACAAGAATTAACATCTACTATAGTATCATGTTAATTATACCACTAGCTGAAGTCATGTGGTGGGGCTCTGAGTATATCTAGGATTTCAGCAGTTGATTTGAAGGAATGAAGCCAGAGGAAACCAAATATCTCTTATCTCTAGAGACCTTCACTAAGGAGCTTGTAGCTATTCGTCCACGTAGATGTAACCTGATAGAACTGTAGGTTGTGAAGCAAGCTGCGTGCAGCACTTGTAGAGAGGATTGCCCCAGCAGACGTACCTAAAAACTTTTGTTACTGATATAAGGGAATGAGAACTGGAGGAAAGTCTGGAAACTACAGGTAAAGAACTCATCTGTCCCTGAGGTTCAGAGTAAATGTGCGAAGTCGGATACTTATTTGTGTCTAAATTGCCTCATTTTAAAAGTAGGAGCAAAAATAGAGAGTTGCATTAGAGAGTTGATGTAAGAATCGGACTATACAGCTGAAAGGCAGTATTATTGCTTTTATATTACTAGCAAACATTTTTTGAGTTCCCTGTGCCTGGTACTCAATTCAGTGCTTGGAACACAGACATGAAGAAGGCAGAATCCCTGCACTGGATATGGGGCCTGTGGTCTACTTGGTCTCATTAGAGATCTCATCACAGAAGTAAAAATTATAATGCAATGTGGTGACCAGTAGAGGACCACAGTGGTCTCTTCTCTCCTGTGGGTAGTGGGGAATGAGGAAGGGATTCCTAGAGAAGGTGATTCCCAGAGCTGAGTCTCAAATTTATTATCCAAACAGAGGATGGTGGAAGTATAATGAGCAGGTGCATATGAGTAAAAAAGCAGTGGCAGGGAATTATAGGTTGGGGCACCGGGTGAAGGGTAGGTAGTGGTTAAAGATGGTTAGAAACTGGTTCCAAGTAGGATGGGAAGCGGTAGCGTATCTTTCCCCATCTGGTGCTTATTTTCATTTTCGATAAGGTCTCCATGAAGACAGGAAAGGAATCGTTCTGTGTGTGTGTATGTGCATCTTAAATCCCAAAAGCGTAGGCATATTAAACAGTCCCTAGGAATGTGTGTGTGTGTGTGTGTGTGTGTGTGTGAGATCCCAAAAGCGTAGACACATTAAACAGTCCCTGGGAAACTGTGTGTGTGTGTGTGTGTGTGTGTGTGTTAGTGTTAGATCCCAAAGCATAGGCACATTAAACAGTCTCTAGGAAACTGTGTGTGTGTGTGTGTTAGATTCCAAAGCATAGGCACATTAAAGTCCCTAGGAAACTGTGTGTGTGTATGTTAGTGTCAGATTCCAAAGCGTAGGCACATTAAACAGACCCTAAGAAACCGTGTGTGTGTGTGTGTGTGTGTGTGTGTGTGTGTGTGTTAGATTCCAAAGCATAGGCACATTGAACAGTCCCTAGGAAACTGTGTGTGTGTGTCTGTCTGTTTGTGTGTGTGTGTGTGTGTGTGTGTGTGTGTTAGATCCCAAAAGCGTAGGCACATTAAACAGTCCCTAGTCATCTTTTCTTAGGTGGCATCATGAATCTGCAGTGCATATTAATACAGAATATGTGGATTTTTCTGTTTAGATTCCCAAAAACACATAACTTTTTAATAATATATGCTCCTCCATCATTAAAAAATGGAGGTCACGGGAAATGTTTTGTCACTTTGGAAATGTGAAAAAAATGGGAGGGGGGCAGCAAAAGTCCCTTGCAGATTCTCCTCATTGCTAGTCACAAAGGAAACTATACTTTATAAACAGCAATATCTAGACATACTTTATGTAGAGTTTTTAGCTATTTGAATGGATAAGTGTTGCATTTTTACTTTTCCCTTTTGAAAGAACATTACACTTAAAAATAGTTAAATAATAATTTGTAAAATGAGACTCGATAGCAACAAACTACCCTCCTATGGTGTATCATAAATGCCTGGAACATCTTTGGGTAAACATAGTGACATTCCTTTTGACCAGGTGGAATGACATGGGGAATATCACTCATAACAAGTCGACCATTCTAGTGGAGCTTGTCAATAAAGAAGAGACTGCCCTGTTTCACACGGTAAGCACAACAGACAAACGGGCAGGGGCTGACAAGACATTGGCTTTTGGATGTTTCAACTCCTCATGTCCTTTCCTGGCTCTCCTTATCTTGAGATAATAAATATTCTCTTGAAGAGATACTTTCTAGTACTTGCTCAATGCTATCATTACTCATTTCAAAATAGTGGTGCTGAAATACCCATGTTTGAAATACCAGGTTTCTGGCTGGGCATGGTGGCCCACGCCTGAAATCCCAGCACTTTGGGAGGCCGAGGCCGGTGGATCACTTGAGGACGGGAGTTTAAGACTAGCCTGGCCAATACGGTGAAACCCCATCCCTACTAAAAATACACAAATTAGCCGAGCGTGGTGGTGGGCACCTGTAGTACCAGGAGGCTGAGGCAGGAGAATCTCTTGAACCCGGGAGGTGGAGGTTGTAATGAGCTGAGATCATGCCAGTACACTCCAGCCTGGGCAACAGAGCTAGACTCCATCTCAAAAAATAAAAAATAAAATACTAGGTTTCCGAGCTGACTTTTGACTCTAGGACTCTGGTCCCTCCACCTGCCTTATGTGTGATGGATCACGTTGTCTGGTATGCCACCTTCCTCAGCACTCTAGTTACAGCCCTCCTCTAATGACCCCTGATTCTATTGCATTGCATTTGCTTTTGCTGGTGGACCTGAGTTTTCTTTCCCATTGTAGCCCAAGCTTAATCTGAAGTAAGCTGAGCCATTAACCTTCTGTTAAGTGCCTCCTCAAGAGCCAAGGCATCTCACTGCCTCCAATTTAATGAGGTCTGATGTTTATTCTACGCTCTGCCTTGATTCAGTTATTTATTTTGAAAGCACTTGGTTGGGAATTACATAAAGACATGCTGGTTCATCAGTGTCACCCCGGCACTCTGGACCTAGGGATTCCTTAGCAGACAGCATGTTGTGCCACTCTTTGGTAGGCTTTGTACGCATAGCTGCCTCCGAAATCCAGCAGGCTGGTTTACTTGCTGGCCCATGTGTAAGTTTGTGCTTGAGATGAAGGTTGGAAGGGATGGGCCCCTCCTCAGAAGAATTTTAGTGAAATGTGTAATCCAATAAATGTTAATTTTTTTTTTTCCTCTGTGTCTTCTTTTCCAAGGATGATATCGAAAATGCCAAGTACATTTCTCGGTTGTTTGCCACACGACACAAGTTTTACAAACAAAACAAAATTTGCACTGAGTAAGTAAACATTTAGTCCCCTGCCTGGATGGCTTTGTCACATTAAATTCATGTCCTTTTGGGGTGTTGTATATCACTTTTCCTATTCACTCTTTTTTCTTGTTTCTCATAGAAGCTAAAGAAGTAAGCTCAAGCCAGGGCAGGAGGGAAAACTTTAATGATGAAGACTGTCTAGTGTAGTGCATATGCCCAGTGAGCGAATAATTCACAAATTGACTGTGCATGCTTGGCTGCCTGGTTGGGTTGGCCCACATTAGCGCCTTTCCAAACCTCTGCTAGGAGTTTGGAGGAGTGGAGCAGTTCCCAATTTGCCAGGGTGCCCCTTCGTGTCAGGCGCGGAGTGTGTTCAGAAGTGGGTAACAGAGTGACGAGCTAGCTTGAAAGAGAAGATGCTCTGTCATCCTCAGCCCCGTGTCGCTTACACAGTTGGCTAACCCTGCGTGTGCTCCTGGGTCATGTCATCTGACTGTAAATGAGAGGCCAGGGTAATTAGAGGAAGATGTGGAAGACACTCATAGGTGTCCCAAATCCGTGTGTATTTTTTTAATTTAATTTGGAAATAAAGAGGAGTGTGATGAGGGCACTTAAATGCGGCCTGACCTCAGATGAAGCGTGCTGGGGCTCACTCTATCATTGTCTTTTTCTTGGTTACCTTCAAAAGACGTTCCTTAGCAGAATACATTCAGCGGTGTGGGCGCCCAATGTGTTTAATTTTGTTTCAAAGAGTGTCAGGGTTATAAATGCAAGAGAAGAACTGCTTTTCCACTCCCACAGTGGACACATCCGAGAGTATGTAGAGTATTGTCCTAGAGCAGTTCCTGCGGAAGCACGTGGCTGCTTTATAGCTGGAGCTCCAGGTCATGGCAGACTTTTTTCTCCACACCGCGGAGGCTCTTTTAAGCCAGTCATTGCAATTGGTCACTGTCGGGGTCTGAAAATATGTCTGATAGTATTAGGCCTACCAGCTTGGTTTGCAAATGTAAATCAGAAGAAGGCCTGATCTGGGAGTGGCAAGTGAAGCCGCCTTCCGTTTCTTCTGGACACATTCCCGCATGTGCCCCACTGTATCATTCTCTTGAGCAGGTTCCCTATAGGTCACTTCTGTGTATTTCTTTTTTTTTTTGAGACTGAGTTTCGCGCTTGTTACCCAGGCTGGAGTGCAATGGCGCAATCTCGGCTCACCGCAACCTCCGCCTCCTGGGTTCAGGCAATTCTCCTGCCTCAGCCTCCTGAGTAGCTGGGATTACAGGCACCATGCCCAGCTAATTTTTTGTATTTTGAGTAGAGACGGGGTTTCACCATGTTGACCAGGATGGTCTCGATCTCTTGACCTCGTGATCCACCCGCCTCGGCCTCCCAAAGTGCTGGGATTACAGGCTTGAGCCACCGCGCCTGGCCACTTCTGTGTATTTCTACTCTGCTGTCGCCTTTGACTTGTGGGACTGTCTTTGACATGAACAAGAATGCTATCCTTGTTTTTCTGTAAGGTGACTTTAAAAACTGAGAAGTGGATTTCACTCTTGTCTTCTGACTTAACCACAGCTCAGCAAATGGCTTTACTATAAATTTATGGAGTGTTTATTTTTTGCTTGTGGTCTTTTCCTCCAGTATTAGTGAATGTCACGTATTAGTCTGAAAACTAAGAAGAAATTCTGTTTCTGTAATAACCACTCCTTTCCTCTTCCTAACCAGGTTAAGAAGTTCTTAACCTCTTACCTGATTAAAATCTGGGGCATACTCTCAAAATTACACACACACACACACACACACACACACACTCTCACACACTATTTCAAAATTACACACACACACACACTCAAAATTACACACACACACTGTCTCTGTCAAAATTACACACACACACACACACTCTCTCTCTCTCTCTCTCAAAATTACACACACACACAGTCTCTCCCTCCCTCCCTCCCTCCACGCATGCACAGCAGCATCCTTCTCCAGAGGGTGTTACTCTGACCTCTAAAAGATCATTATTGATTTTTCTGCTCCTGCAGAGCTGCTGCTTTGTCTTCTGGAGGTAATAGCTCCCTTAAGTGGCTCCTCGATTTTTTGGCATAAGGAGAAAAATTAGGGGGGAGTATGTAACATCGGTCTGATAATATATTTAGCCAGTCATTGAAAAACCCACTGCTGCTATGTTACCTCCATCATTTCATTAAAGATATTTTATCACCAAAAAAGTAGGAAGGATGAAATCTCCAGAATAAAGAGAGTCTTTTAAATTCAAGAACTTAGCTTAATGAAAAACTGTACATGTCCTGTTTTTTGTTTTGTTTTATGGTAACACAGAGAACGAGGGAAAATGTTATAGCATTTGGGACCCATTGCTTGAAGGAATCTTTGATTTTAACCCTCAAGAATTTGCTAATACTTGCAGTTCATTTTTTAATCTCTACATTAAAAAATATGTTGGTTCTTAGTCTGGAAAATACCTGATCAGATAAATGTTTGTAAAATGTATTATCTTAATAAAAAGTACCTTTATACGGTCACACTAAAAATATTGTATCTATTTTAGATTTCCATTTGACTGGAAGCATTTTAAAAAATATTTTTTCTTGCATTTTTAAAAACTGAAATATTTTACATATATACAACAGTACAAAGAGTACAGTTTTAAAAAATCCATGTAATAATTGTGATCTTTTTCAGTCTTGCTTATTTCCCTCAGTGTTTCTACAGAAATAAGCCTCCATCTGTTTAATATTACTTCGTAAAACTTATTCTAAAAGTATCCTATCCAAACATTTTGAAAATAAAGAAAAACAACGGAAATCGAAATTGTTCTTAGTACTGCCCAGAAATAAGCCATGTTTATGTTTTGAATGTAACGATTACCAATCTTATTTATTTTCTTCTTCTCCTTCTCTTGTCTATTATACTATCAATAATAACCATTCTCGTTTTTTCACCTCTTCATGTAGACAGTCAAATTCTCCACCTCCCATCAGACGCCAGCCCACCTGGAGCCGGTCCTCTCTGGTATGTATAGAAGCTGCAGTGATCAAGTGATCTGACTGTCGAGCATTCTTTGTTATTAACTTAAGGCGGGGGAAGATGCGGGCATCGTGATGAGGTGAAATTTTGTGATAACAGGCATCATTCTGTCAAGCAGGTGTGATGCACACACAGTTTATCCCCCTTGGACCTGTCCGTGCCCACCACTACTCTAAGTGTGGCTGAGGGTTTACCCTGTGAGTAGGTCTCATTCCAGGCCCATGGGACTATGTTCCCTCAGCATATAGCCCGCAGTGTGTTTTCATCCTCTTGCTCATCTGTTCTAGTTATTAAGTGAATACGCATCTTCAGGTGTGAGCTCCACAAATATATTTGCATTCATTGCCATGCAGAGAGTTTAATAAACCGTGAGAAAATTCCTTCTAAATGAGCAACAATTGGACGGATCTAGTGGACGGTCTCAGGCAGAGTATCTGATGGGGAAAATTGATTGCGTATTTCCTAAATTTAGGCTTTAAAAAAATCAGATTTCCAAAGCATTTCCATAATTTTAGGCTTTAATTAGCCAACAGAGTTTGAATTGACCTAGGCTTAGCTGCTGCTGCCTTTTTTGTTTGGTTTTAGTTTTTTTTAAGCTGCTGTCCTCATCCTGTGAATAAGGAAACACAGTTTCAATGTATGTGTTGTGTCTTAGGTTGTGTTTTGAGGATTACTCAAGGATAGTAGAAAAAAAAAGTTAAGAGTTGGTTTCCTTTAATGTTTTCCGCTTGTTTTAACTCACAGTTTTATTTTAGGTTCTGATTTTTTTTTACACAAAATCAAAACGAACTTATGGCCTTTTAACTTCTCTAGATCAACAATTCTTTCAAGTTGATAAAATTCAATTGGATTTTTCTTCATATTCAATGTATACCCTGTAGCATGTCTTTAACTTCTCTTTTGAAGGGAAAATTTCAAGGAAAAATTTTTTTCTGGAAAATGCATGGATAAGGACTCTGAATTCTTGAGTTGAGCCATTATAACATCACAGTCATTCCTGAGTGCCTGTGTGAATATTATTACTCTCAATATTGCGCACAGTATCTCACATGTGGTCCCCTCCTCTGGAGATTGAAGGGATACCTTGGGCTTTGACCTAAGTACCAATAGGTTTGTTCACGGCATTGATTTCTTTATTCTTCTCCTTTATGAATTTATCTTCCTTTTTCCTTCCTTAGAGTATAAGTGTCTTTATTAGCAAAATAGTTTTTCATTTATGCCCTTGAAACCCCATGGAAGGCAAAGTGTTTTAAAGCTCTCTTGTGATCGTATCTTGTCCTCATTATCCAGAGAGGATGCTGAGGCTTACCTGTTTTATTTGGATGAAAACAGTTTACAGGAAGTGTGATCCAATTCATGGCTTCCTCCTTTCCCCTGTCCTTTAGGTTTAAACCATTTCACCAAGAGTTTCTTAGGATGAGTGAGTAAGACCAGATGACATTGTCTCTTGGCTTCCTTGCTGATAACTGTTTTCCACCTGCCCTCTCCTATCTCTATTTTGGCATCGAATCTGTTTCTGTATTAGCCTGTCTGGAAAGAAATGGAATAATGTATTAGAATATATAAAGAGATGAAATGAATACTATAATCCTGAAATGATGTTTGGGGGATTAGCTATTATTGTCCTTTGACAGTGCTATTTATGAACTGGCATAAGTTTGCTTGTTTATGTCATTCATAAACCATAACTTACTTATTAGATTATTTTAAATAAGGCAAGAAAAGACAGCAAACCAACTTTGTCTTGCCATGTATTTCTATTCCTCTGTACAAATCCCTCCCCACTGTGTTTCTCTTTAGAGCCTTAAAATGGCTGTGCTACCATGGAAAAATTGAGTTGAATTATGTATAGCCAAGAAAAGGAAAAGTATGTTTAAATTGCAACTCAAAAGTGAGCCAAAGGGAGACTTGGGAATATAGCACGTTTTCTTTTGTCACCCAAACTGCTTTCTTAGATGTATTTAATTTCAGTTCTTCATTTCTTCTGTCTTGATTCCTTTTAATTCTTGGATCCTTTTTTTAATTACCCCTTTGATGATCAAGCATTGTTTGTGGCAGAGAAAATGATAGGTGAGTTATTCACCCAGCTTCAAGCTCTTGGCCAATGTGTTTCTTCCATGGAGGAATGCTGAAAGTGTGACCCCTGCTGGATTTGGGTTTCTTGGTTTGAGCTCAGATTCTTCTCTTTTAAAACAGTAACCTTTAAAATAAATCTATAAGGCTAACAGAAATATAAGAGATTGACTGGGCATGGTGGCTCATACCTGTGATCCCAGCACTTTGGGAGGCCAAGGCGGATGGATCACCTGAGGTCAAGAGTTCAAGACCAGTCTGGCCAACATGGTGAAAACCCATCTCTACAAAAAATACAGAAACTAGCCAGCCATGGTGGCACAGCGCCTCTAATCCCAGCTACTTGAGAGGGTGAGACATGAGAATCACTTGAACCCAGGAGACAGAGGTTGCAGTGATCTGAGATTGTGCCACTGCACTCCAGTCTGGACAATAGAGTGAGACTCTGTCTCAAAAAATAAAAAAGAAATGAAAAGGAAAAAGAAATATAAGAGATTATCTTTTTTTGTGGCTTATAAACTTAAGTGTTTTGAGGGTTATTTTTTCCCGCAGATCAAAATTCTTATTTTAAACAAATTCTTATCCGGAACCTTGATATGTAAATAAAATGGATAATGCTTGAGGTAGGGGGAGAGAGGAGCTTGATTTGACTGATAGGAAACTGAGATGGGCTGAGGTTAAATGACTTGCTCTATATTATATTAGTGCATAACTGCCTCTCTTTTGTTGGCTCACCAAATATTTAATCCACTGAAGTATTTTTTATTCCTCTAAAAGCTTGTTCCTCTTCCACAGCATGAAGTTATTCAGGTTCAGTCTAAATAGCCATTTTTAAGAGACTGCAGAAAAGATTCTGCACTGCGGTAGGGGGAAGACAGGGCTCTTTCCATACTTGGTTCTGCAGTGGGGGAGGTCAGCAAGTGGTCTTGAGAGCTACACACTCACTGTTGTGGGCCACATTTTAGATATTTAAGTAGATTCATTTTAGATATTTAAGTAGATTCATCCCGGGCTCGGCTTAACACTAACCCTGTTCCTATTTAAGGTTGATGTGGTCTCAGGCATAGCTATGCTGATGTGTAGGAGCTTATGAATGGAATTTTGAAAAGAATGAAACAGGTGTTCCCTTATTGTCATCTCTGAGATGGATTATAATAATTCACTCTTTTTTTTGGAGACAGTTTCTCTCTGTCTCCCAGGCTGGAGTGCAGTGGCGTGATCTTGGCTCACTGCAACCTCTGCCTCCCGGGCTCAGTGACTCTCACACCTCAGCCTCCCAAGTAGCTGGGACAACAGGTGCATGCTAGTACACCTGGCTAATTTTTTTTGTATTTTAGTAGAGATGGGGTTTCACCATATTGCCCCATATTGCCCAGGTTGTTCTTGAACTCCCAAGCTCAGTCAATCCTCCCACCTTGAATAATTTACCTTTTCTAAGTTATTCTTGTGAGAGAAGGCACAGAGAACTTTGCAAGTGTATTAGAACATAGATAATAAATTGTTACATTCAATCTTTGATGGTAACTTCTTTCTCTCTCTGATCTTGAACCAACTTCATTTCTCCCTTACCGTTTCTCCAGTCCCAGTCTTAGTGATAAGATGAGAGCGCAGACGGGTAGAAGAAGGTTGGGTCAAAGGGGTGACAGGGACAGCGGCTGCCACGAGCCTCCCTGACGACATGGTGGGACTGCTGTGTGCCCGGGCCGGGTGTGTGAGTCATTGGCCGGGTCTGGCCAGGCCTCCCCACCTCCTCTGTGTTCTCTGTTTCAGCCCAGGCAGCAGCCGTACATCCTGCCTCCCGTTCACGTGCAGTGTGGTGAGCACTACTCGGAAACACACACCTCACAAGGTAACGCTGGCTTGCCATTCTCCATTCTTAAGACAAAAAGTTGAATACCAATAAGTGGTAAAGAAGACTTTTAAAAAAAAAGAAGACAGGGATGCTTTCTTTTTAACTTCGTCATTGTCTGAATGATAGTATCTGACAGCTTCAATTTGCAGAAGGCTTAAACTATCAGTTACCTCTGATCAAAAAATTTCCCCGGTATTGGCTGCTCTGGGGGTCGGGGTCAAGGCAGCGAGCAAGTTCTTTCTTCTCCCTTTCCTAAGTGAGCTTAGAGAAGAGACCGTGATAGCTCAGCCCAAGTGAATGCACTTCACCTTCACTGCCAGTATCAGAAAGCTCCTGGCAGTCACTCTGCTTTTCATGGTGACATAGAACACGGACGTGCAGAATAATTGGAAGAAATACACTAAGTCAGCCTTTTCTCTTAGCTGTTTTTCTCATCTCTTTCCCCAGCCCCTTTCTTGGTACACTTGCTTTTTTCTTTTCAGAGTAAAGTAAAGCTGTTCTATTCCTCTCTTTCTCACAAAATTTCTCCCATGCAAAATGTGTGAAAAAGCTTCTTCTACTAGTAATGATTTCATGGTAACAACTAACATTCATAGAGCAATTATGGTATTGCTCTAAGTACTTGGTATATATCTTTTCACGTGATCCTTAAAACAAACCTATAGGTACTATTATTATTTCTATTTTCCAGATATACAAATTGGGGTACAGACAGATTAATGATGGAACTTAGATATGAAAACTGGTACTTGTAATCATTATGCGAACTGCATTTGAAAAAAAGGAGATGGTAGAAAATCTTGGATGTTGGAAATACAGTAAATGGTTAATTCATTCTCTGTTATCAACTCCTGGCCATTTTGAATCCTCTGCTGTATAAAAGTGTGAGCATGAAAACCAAGGCAATCAAGACTATTTAATTTAATAAAATAGTACTTTTTACAAGGAGACTAGCAAAGTTACCACATTTCTCTGGGAAGGCCCCAAACCCCATGGGAGGTGGCTAACTTGCCCCACATTTGTCTCTGCGTTCCCCTTGTCTGTCCTGCCTGTCTCATCTGATCAGATCTCTGTCCATGCTCCCTCTCTTCAGTTGACTATTTTCAGTCACCGTTTCTGTTTTTCACCTTCTCTGAGTTTGCCTTTCTCTGTTTTGCTCATGCTTAAATCTGTAGTGTGAAAATGAATATATCTTGGCTATAGAAAGGCAAGAGATTGCCTTCCTCGGGGCGTGTGTGTGTAAGAGAACACCGGACACCTAGAATGGGCCTGATTTTAGGAATCTGCTTTTTATTGCCTTAGGTATCTCTTTAAACTATAATTTTTACTTGAATTGACCTAAGTGATGAAATAGTTCTAGAGGGGATATTAGGAGTTGCTGAAAAGAACTCGTGATTCTAATTTTGCCCTCTGTTGCTGCTCAGGACCAGCTAGCTGTGCTGACACCCTGGCTACATCATTTGTTTTGTGTCTTTAGAATGCCCAGCAGTCACCTGGGTAAAGGCGCCTTTTCCATTGCCATCAGGAAGAGCAGCTCTAAGTCCTTAGTAACTGAAATTTATTAAAGTTCTTGAATTCCTTGTCTAAATATTCAGTCCTGTTGCTGAGTCCTGAGCAAGAGGACAGGTCTCCCCAATTGGAGGGCCATTGTTGGTGCCTGATTTCAAAGCTCACGGCAGAACTGAGAACTTTCCCAAGCAACACTTACTTCAAATGTGTGCACGCCTTTGATTAGGTTTGCTTTTTCCTTTCAGTATGCTTTAAGGTGTTCTTTCTGTATGTTGGCATTTCATCCAAGATAGTATTTGTTATTCTGTAGAATATGTTGGTGGAGACCATGGGATTTCATTTTTTATGACTTATTTAAATGAAAAGTCACCTCATAAGTGTAGGATGTGCATTGCTGTGGCAGAATGGCGTGGAGGTTCACGTGCCTTTGCTTGACTTCTTGTAGACAGCATTTTTCATGGGAATGAAGAAGCCCTGTATTGCAACTCTCACAACAGCCTGGACTTAAATTATTTAAATGGCACCGTCACCAATGGCAGCGTGTGTAGTGTTCACAGTGTCAACTCCCTCAACTGCTCGCAAAGTTTCATCCAGGCCTCCCCCGTGTCCTCCAACCTCAGTATCCCTGGGAGTGACATCATGCGGGCCGACTACATCCCGAGCCACCGACACAGCGCCATCATCGTGCCCTCCTACAGGCCGACCCCTGATTATGAGACGGTCATGCGGCAGATGAAGAGGGGGATCCTGCATACAGACAGCCAGAGCCAGTCTCTGAGAAACCTCAACATCATCAACACCCATGCCTACAACCAGCCAGAGGATCTGGTGTACAGCCAACCCGAGATGCGGGAGAGGCACCCCTACACTGTCCCTTACGGGCCACAGGGGGGCTACAGCAACAAACTTTTCAGTCCATCAGACCAGATGAACCCAAAGAATCATGTGGCACCGAGCAAGCCGGGGGCAAGCGCCATCTTGCACACAGTGAGCACCCCCGAGCTGGCCAACATGCAGCTGCAGGGCACCCATAACTACAGCACTGCCCATATGCTCAAGAACTATCTCTTCAGGCCGCCGCCCCCCTACCCACGGCCACGCCCTGCCACCAGCACTCCAGACCTGGCCAGCCACCGCCATAAGTACGTCAGCGGCAGTAGCCCCGACCTGGTGACCCGGAAGGTGCAGCTCTCGGTGAAGACCTTCCAAGAGGACAGCTCTCCGGTGGTGCATCAGTCTCTCCAGGAGGTGAGCGAGCCCCTCACAGCCACCAAGCACCACGGCACGGTGAACAAGCGCCACAGCCTGGAGGTGATGAACAGCATGGTGCGGGGCATGGAGGCCATGACGCTCAAGTCCCTCCACCTCCCCATGGCGCGCCGCAACACGCTCCGGGAGCAGGGGCCCCCCGAGGAGGGGCTGGGCCACGAGGTCCCCCAGCTCCCTCAGTATCACCACAAGAAGACCTTCTCTGATGCCACCATGCTGATCCACAGCAGCGAGAGCGAGGAGGAGGAGGAGGAGGCTGCAGAATCGGTGCCCCAGATCCCCGTGCTCCGGGAGAAGATGGAGTACAGCGCCCAGCTGCAGGCGGCCCTGGCCCGCATCCCCAACAAGCCCCCGCCTGAGTACCCCGGCCCAAGGAAGAGTGTGAGCAATGGGGCGCTGAGGCAGGACCAAGCCGGCCTTCCTCCCGCCATGGCCAGAGCCAGGGTGCTGAGGCACGGGCCAGCCAAGGCCATCAGCATGTCCCGGGCCGACCCATCGGCTGTCAACGGGGCCTCTCTCGGTCCATCCATCTCCGAACCCGACCTGACAAGCGTGAAGGAGCGGGTCAAAAAAGAGCCGGTGAAGGAGAGACCTGTGTCTGAAATGTTCTCCCTGGAGGACAGCATTATAGAGAGAGAGATGATGATCAGGGTGAGTGTCCTCCTCTCCCGGGGCGTTTTCCAGAAAGCACAGGCTTCAGGCACTGAGCAAGGGGCAAGGCTTAAGCAGGGAATGCACTAGGTTTTTAAGGAATCACTGAGCATTTAATCAGGTAGTACTGTATTACACAAAACACTGGGTTTTTGCCCTTTCAGATAAGTCTTCCAATCTTACTTGTGGCTTCTAACAGATGTACTTGGTACGTAGTTATGGCCAGTGCCGCAGCCAGCATTTTGCCGTTTATTCGGGGCTGAGACTTCAATCGTGTGAGCTGCTATTATGGAAGCTCACCTTTCTATGTCTTTTAGTGTTTTGTTTTCTTGAAGGAAAGCTGTCCTCCACCCCCAGTTAGGTATTAAAAAGCAACATCCGTATACCGCCTTCTGTATAGATCTGTGAGTCAAGACAGCTCACCAGTATTGTCTGGCCTGTAAAATGTCTAGCTTTATATTCAGGTTGTATTTCAACAGATGCTTCACACAGATTCAAGAGAAGTACAGTAATTGGATCTCTAATTCTCCGTTGAACTTATTCTTTTGTCTGTTTGTTTAAAACTTGTACTTTATGTTTCTCAAATATTTTTACTTAGGCTTTTTGTCATTATCCACAGCGATTCTTTTCTAAAAGCCTGAGCCACTTTGTGGTTTTAGCCTCAATATAATAATCATTCTCTTACTCTTAGAATTCCTTTTTCTCTGTCACTTTGCCTGTGTATAGTTTGTATAGAGGACCTTAGAAAAATCAACGTTTCCTGGCCGGGCGCGGTGGCTCAAGCCTATAATCCCAGCACTTTGGGAGGCCGAGGTGGGTGGATCACGAGGTCAAGAGATCGAGACCATCCTGGTCAACATGGTGAAACCCCGTCTCTACTAAAAATACAAAAAATTAGCTGGGCATGGTGGCGCGCGCCTGTAATCCCAGCTACTCGGGAGGCTGAGGCAGGAGAATTGCCTGAACCCAGGAGGCCGAGGTTGCAGTGAGCTGAGATCGCAGCATTGCACTCCAGCCTGGGTAACAAGAGGGAAACTCTGTCTCAAAAAAAAAAAAAAAAAAAAAAAAAGACAATCAACGTTTCCTGTGAACTCAGGAGACTATATGAGCAGTGCCCAAATCAGTAGGATTAGGCAGGTAAAAGCAGTTGGATAGCAGATATGTTATGATCTCTTGGGCAAAGGTGTAGTTGTGTGCATGTCTACGAGGTCATAGTGATTCTCCATTAGCATAAAGATTATGTGACCAGGGTGAGGTAGGAATATCCATGGGACCATGTAAATTATGGTAGGGGAGGCAGTGTACAGTATTCCTGAATCAAGCACCTAGCTAACTGCTTTCCTGAAAATGGTCTGTGTTCTAAAAGATCTAGGTTTTTTATGTTTTTTTTCTTTGATTTATGAAGATTCAAGGTCACTAATAGGTTACTTGCTCTGGTTTGAAATAAAAGCAACTGGCTATGGTAAGGTAGAGAAAATGGCAGAAATGCATCAGAATATTTAAGACTTAAATTAAGTTCTGAGTTACCTCACTTTATAAAAGTTTGTCAATATACTAAGTACTCAACAAAGATCCAGGATATGGGATATTTAAAAATACATTTCTCTTGGATTAGCATCAAAAGTATCAGTTTCTGTACAACCATGTCAAGTTTTACACACACATTAAAATTATTTCTGATAAAAATCACAAACTCCACAGAAATCACTAAAGATATATGCAGACAACTTTCAAATACATTTTGACATCAAAGTCAGGCAGTTCACTTGGAAGAAGTTATAACGAGTACCCCTGAATTTTTGTAGTAAGATGTCTGACGTCAACTTTGATTATGGGAATTCTTTACATCTCACACAAAGGAGGCACTGGTGCTTAGAAACTTAAGAAAATTACTAGAACTATTAAGACTGAGGTGAAGGATTTGTACAGCTTTCCACAATTTCAAAGAGGTAGTGATAGATACTTGTCCTCCTGGCAATATCAAATGCACTTTCTTCCAAGTTGTTTTTCAGCCCTGGTTTGATATAACGCTTCGTCAGGAGGAGTTCTAGGGTGTCCTGGCTGTCTCTGTTCCCAGCAGCAAGATGCAAGGGGGTCAAGAGGCCTTTTGTTCAGCTGTTGACATCTGCATCATGCTGCAGTAAGAAAGAAGCCACTCTGGTATTATTCTACTTACAGGCACTGTGCAGGGGCGTCCAGCCATCCACGGTCACTGCATGAACATCTGCCCCCTCTGCAGTGAGCTCCCGGACAGTATCTAAGTGTCCATTGTAGGCTGCGCGATGGAGAGGGGTATACTCCTCTTCCGCCCTGGTGTTCACCTGAGTGGCCTTTTCAGAAAGTAGTCTCCGCACTATAGTAAGCTGCCCGAAGAAGCAATTTGCTGGGTCTTTTTCCATTTTTTGTCTTGCAGTTGATACCACTCCTCCTCTTTTTCATCTTGCTCCTCGTCTTCTCAGAATTGCCTACCCAAAGACTTTGAGTACCGGCAGGAAGAAGGTGTCCATGTGTTTCCAACAATTCAAGTTGGTTAAAGTGTTCAGAAAAGTCCAAGGAATTCTCTTGGTCTGGTATTCCATCATTGTTTCCTTTTTCTTTTTCCATTTTTACTACTATTCTAAATAAAAAGCATTTTGAATGCCAGGGTATAAACAATCTAGAAATGAATTACGACTGCTTTATTCATCAAGATCTAACAGAAGGGAAAACTGCCACTGTCAAACTTACTCTATCAAAAATTCACACGTGTGTGAATACACACATACATATGTATATATACGTCCATATTACCATTTGAAGATCCATCCTAGTGTTAGACATGAATAGCTCTTCTTTAGAATATGTACAGAGCCAGGTATAGTGGTGAACACCTCTAGTCCCAGCTACTTGGGAGGCTGAGGTAGGAAGATCACCTGAAGCCAGAATAATGAAGCCAGCCTGGGCAATATAATGAGATCTCATCTCTACAAAACAAACAAACAAACAAAACAGCCAGGCATGATGGCTGGAGCCTGTAATCCTAGCTTATCAGGAGGCTGAGGTGGGAGGATCGCTTGAGCCTAGGAATTCAAGGCTTCGGTGAGTTGTGATTGTGCCACTGTGCTCCAGCCTGGTTGGCAGAACTAGACCTCGTCGCTTAAAAAGAAAAAAAATTGTACAATCTGGGGAGACAGTTATGTCGTCAGAATAGGACTATGCAGGTACATGTAGAACAACGAAGTGCACTGGCTCTTACTGACGAGAAAATGTTTGGATTATTGCTATAAAAAATCTCCATGCTGCTTCCCATGAACATTTTCACTCTCTTTTAAAAAACCAATTAATTAGAACTAATCAAAGCCAGATTGACTTCTCTTCATTCACCGCGGTTGCACTAGAAGATAGCCAAGCCTGATTTCAGAACTCCAGAACAGTTGTAACTTAAAATTGCCTTTGTGGGAGTCCACAGACCACCTTCACTTCCTGGTCTTCCTAACCCATCATTGGAATTCAACCTGAAAAGAACCATCAAGGCCCAAAGATTTCAGGAAGCCAAGTTCCTGGGGTCAGAACTGGAATCTGTAGCAACCTTGTTACTTTTGGAAAACCTTAAGAACATTCTCAATTTGACCAGCCCCGCTGGAGTGGTGCTAAAAGTTTTTTATACAGACTTTTTGTAAACCTAGAAGGAAATTGTGCAAGGTGTACCTTTGTCTGTAGCAAAGAAAACCTTTGGCTTGGAATGGAAGAAATGTGTGGATGGGTGCCCTTGGGAGAGAGCTTTCCCAGTGTGGAAGAAAGTAATTCATTGGTGGAAATGGATTTTTCAATACTTCTTCCAGACCACTTAAAAGCAACATTAGTATCAAGAACCTAGCAGCCTAAGCATTTAATTTAGCTATTTCCCCTGCCAGCTCCATACTTAATGATGTCCACATGGTCTCATAACCTTGTTTTGGTTGTACCCATCCTCTTCTCGTTACATTATTAAACAAATAGCCTGTAGCCCAAATCTTGGCACTGGTCTCCTCCTCAGAGCTCCTCGCATTATCATAAAAGAACAAGGGATTTTTCACTTTTTTTTTTTCCTCCAGATGCTTTTCTGTTCCATTCATGTGGGTAATAATGACTAGCAAATTTTATCCATTAACCTTTACTTCAAGAAATAATTACCCATTTCTACTTCATTTTCCCTGTTGAAATGTTTTTTTTCCAAATCTGCTATACTCAGGAGCTCGAGGACACCCGCAGACCTTAGAGGAGGATTAGGAGCTTCCTCAGTAAGCCAGAAGGCCAGGCAAGGGTGACAGTGCCAGTGGCTCTGAGCCCGAGATGAGTCTCCATCTGTTTTGTTTGTAATGCGGAAACTCACCCCATAACCTAAGCAACATCCCCACGGGTCAGATACTTCTCTGCTCTCCTCACAATAGGCAGCTTTTGCCAGCTTGATGGGAATTCCTGAGAGGTGAAGGCCATTCTAAGCGCCCTCTTGATAGAACACAATGAGAAACTGTTAGCAAAAGAAAACTAGGGGGCTGGTGGGAGTGTGCAGGTGCAGGTATGGTGAGAATTTGCCCTCTGGGCAGCTCTCCTGGAGCTGCTTGTCTATTTGATGGATGGTTCTGCCACTTTTGTGGCTCATTTTGGCTCCTACTGCTTCCTTGAAGGCACTTCCCTGCTTTGGAATCCCCTAGCCAGAAGTCGATACACTGAGAAGAAAAGGCCAGATCAGATCTTTTGAATTATTATTATTTTGTATGTCTGGTAACAAGCTGATAGGGTGAGTGAGAAGGAGCAAAGAGACATAGTTTGATTTATCACTGAGTAATAATCCTTTTTCAAGAAAGACTAATTAATTAACTTTTGTCTTAGACCCAGTTATGGTTGCCTTACAGTGCAAAGTGGAAAGAAAGCAGGACTGCTGAGAGGAGCTCAGGACCCATTTTCCAAAACTGTAGCTTTCTCAAAACTTTGGAGAGCAGTGAAATAGATTCCCAAGTGAAAGGGGTGACAGAAATTAAAAAAAGAAAAACTCTCCTCAAAACTAGAAGCAAGCAAACAAAGCCCTAAAAATTTTGATCCAGAATCTTCCCCCAGGGGGTTCCCAAGAATTAAGAGACCAGGGCCATTTGAAAGAATGTTACATCTTTTGGTGGTAAGTCCCTGAGTACTGTAAACCCAGAAAATCTGAGACAGTCTCAGTTAATGTGAAGTTTACTTTGCCAAGGTTGAGGGTATAGTATACTTGTGGCACAGCCTCAGGAGGTCCTGATGGTCGGGACACAGCTTGGTTTTATACATTTTAGGGAGACATGAGACATGAGTCAATGTAAGAAGTTCCTTGGTTTGGTCTGGAAGGGTGGGACAACTTGAAGCAAAGGCAGGGAGACTTGAAGTAGGGAGGGGCTTCCCGGTCACAGGGAGGTGAGAGACAAATGGTTGCATTCTTTTGTTTCTGATTTGCCTTTCCAAAGGAGGCAATCAGATATGCATTTTTCTCAGTGAGCAGAGAGGTTGAATTTGAATAGAATGGGAGGCAAGTCTGCCCAAAAATTCCCAGCTTGAGTTTTCCTTTTAGCTTAGGGGCCCAAGGTATTTTCCTTTCACAGTACTTCTCTCACTTTCTCCCAGTAACCTCCTCTGAGATGCTCCTTTGGTTTGTCTGATGGGTTGGCCATCACCAGGACAAACGTCCTGTTGTCAGTGTTACTAACACAGGCTTCATTCGGATTGTAGGTGACACTGTAGAGACACATGGAAGGGTGTAATGCAGTTCCCCGCCACCCGCAATTAGAACAATTCATAACCCTGTGTGATGACTCCGTCAAGACATCTTGGGGAGTGAATTTATAAATCAGAGAATAAGGAAAAGAGTCTCCCAAGGCTTGAAAAGAAACCACTGATTCAATGGCTCTTCATCTGTGGCAATTAAATGAATCTGCAAATTGTCTGTCCTTCAGTGTGAATCAAGATCTTAAACTCTGCAAAACTCATATGCTTCTAGGAGAAGTGCCTGTGTTTTTCCCTTAACTTCCAAGACACAGTTACTTTTAGGAAAGGCCCTTCATGGCTTGCTTGAAGTGAGTGTAAAGAGAGCTTTTTCATACTCAGTCAGTTTCAAGGACCTGAAGAAGCACAGCAGGAAGCTAAAAACCAGGCCTGACCGATCCAATTTTAGTCTAGAGGCGAGGGCAGAGAGGATGGAAATCAGAAAGCCACAAACCAGGGCCAGGTGTAAACATCAAAACGTTTCGCTAAGTGGTCTGCTCAGTTCCCAAGTCCATGTTCCCCCATAGCTCAGCAGCATGCGGTGATGTCCCACCATCTGCGTTGGGAGTCACAGCCTCCATTATTGTGGGCCCTCTGCGTGAAGCTGAAGGGTAATGCCCGGTGGATCGTCTTAAATGACCCCAGCCAGGCTTTTGTGTTAGTGAGCTCACTAAACCACATCAGCTTTCAATTCTGGGAATGACACCACTCATAGGCACTCCAAATGACACCACTCATAGGCACTCCAAGGACCAGAGATTAATATAGAATTAACATCCTCAGCATTAGCCCCTTCAGACGAAACTTAGGAAGAGTTTTCCTCTACAAAATATATGTGTATGGATCTCTCAATCAACAGCAACAAACCATTTTACAAGTTTTGCTCATTCGATCTGTGCAAAAGGTCCATCACTGGGAGTGAGTTAGATGATTCAGAGAAACCTGTTTCTCTTTTCTTTGTCTTGTTGTCCAGTCCTTGCCTTTCTAAAGTGTCTGCACGTTAACCTATTTTTTTTTTTTTAAGCCCTATGGCAGGGTGTATTTTTAGGGAGTCTTTTTTTCTTATTTATTGGTCTGTCTAGCTAAGGAGTTAATTAAGAATAAAAGCTCAGGAGTCCTGTAGGAACTGGCTTCCGGGGGCCTAGTGGGAATAGTGGGAAGGTTGTGTTTGAATTCGCCCTACTAATGGTGATTGTCTGCATTCCTTGGCTGGGGAGTTACAGATTTGGGGAGATTAAAACACATTCCAACATTCTACTAGTATTATAAACAATGAGAACATGCCTTTTCTTGCCACAAGAATCTGGAGAAGCAGAAGATGGCAGGCCTGGAGGCACAGAAGAGGCCGCTGATGTTGGCAGCATTGAATGGGCTCTCAGTGGCTCGAGTCTCAGGGCGGGAAGAGAATCGAGTTGATGCCACCCGGGTTCCCATGGATGAGAGGGTAAGTGGCAGGCTTGTCAAATGCGATTCATTCTCTGCGGTCTTAGGATCCCAAAACACCCTTCTTGCCCAGACGTGCCAGCACTGAGGTTTGTGTGATGCATTCGTTCTTCAGTCTGAGACTAGGAAGATCAGGTATAACTGTGTTGCATTAAATCAGTCCCTTCCAGGATCTTACGTTCCTCTGCTCGTCTTCCTGCTTTGTCAGGCTGGTGGATCAATGACTGCCTAAAACCAGCAGCCCCTAACATGCCGTATGACTTGGTCAAGTCACTCAATTTCTTTAAGCCTGCTTCCTTTTTTGTAAAATGCACAAGTTAACCATTTGCAGTAGCTCTCAATTTCTGTGATTTTTGTGAGCGATTGCAATTTTTATCCAAGCATTTATTTTTATTCTTAGTTTTTAAAAAGCTTTTATTTTCATTTTGGGGGCACATGTGAAGGTTTATGACATAGGTATGTCTCAGGGGTTTGTTGTACGTATTATTTCATCAGCCAGGTATTAAGCCCAGTACCCCACGGTTATCTTTTCTGCTCCTCTCCCTCCTCCCACCCTCCATCCTCAAGTACCCCAGTATCTGTTGTTTCCTTCTTTGTGTTCATAAGTTCTTATCATTTAGGTCCCACTTATAAGTGAGAACATGCAGTATTTGGTCTGTTCCTATGCTATTTTCTAAGGATAATAGTATCCAGCTCCATCCATGTTTCCCCTCCAAAGACATGAGGCTCGTATCCAAGCATTTATAGAGTTCTTTAAAAATGCCGTCCCCTCGTATGACCGTAAAATGAGGCTGATTTATAACTGTCTGGGTACGTTGTGAGAACATTGGTTTTGAAGCAGAAAACAGCTGCATGGTAGTGTTTTAGACGTGAAGAAAGGTGTGTCCTTAGTTCCTGAAATTGCTGTCAGAAGGTTAAGAAACAGGTTGTATAAATGTAATAGAGTACTAATAACATTAGGGTGTTAGATTTCTGCCAGTATGTATCCAGAATTAGGATGTTTTTAGACCCAGCAGGGACTTTAGAGGAATCATTTAACCCAATTAATAGCATGTTATTGTTTTTAGTAGTTTGGCCAGTGAGGAAGAAAAAAGAGATTTAATTTTCAGAGCTATAGAATTGTGGACCAGTATCATCTTAAAAACAGCTACGTATGTAGAGAAAAGGATGTTGGATAATTAAGATTAACTTTATCGTTAGGACTTTGAACAGAGCATTATTGGCAAAAATTTTGATTTCTGAATTTCAACTCTTGCTAGTTCTTGCAGATTTGTTCTACTTGCAGTATGAGTAAGAAGGAAAATAGTTGTTAGATAAGGCAGACTGTCAGTATGGTTAATCATGAGACAAAGTAACCAAGTATTGATTATACAACTTGAAATCTTACATTAACACAATCACTGTAAAAATATTTAAAGAAATTTGGTTGTTGCCGGGTGTGGTGGCTCACACCTGTAATCCCAGCACTTTGGGAGGTTGAGGCGGGCGAATCTCCTGAAGTCGGGAGTTCGAGACCAGCCTGACCAACATGGAGAAACCCTGTCTCTACTAAAAATACAAAAATTAGCTGGGCATGGTGGTGCACGCCTGTAGTCCCAGCTACTCGGGAGGCTCAGGTAGGAGAATTGCTTGAACCCAGGAGGTGGAGGTTGCGGTGAGCCAAGATTGTGCCATTGCACTCCAGTCTGGGTAACAACAGTGAAACTCCGTCTAAAAAAAAAAAAAAAAAAAAAAAAAAATACAAAAAATTAGCCAGATGTGGTGGTACATGCCTGTAATCCCAGCTACTGGGGAAAATCGTTTGAACCTTGGAGGCGGAAGTTGCAGTGAGCTGAGGTCCTACCATTGCACTCCAGCTCGGGCAACAAGAGTGAAACTTTGTCTCAAAAAAAAAAAAAAAAGAAATTTGGTTGTTTCATTGAGTTTTTGGGTCAGATAATTTAGAGAGCTGAAGATCAATTTCTGTTGCAGTTCAGAACCCTGAAGAAGAAACTAGAAGAGGGAATGGTGTTCACAGAATATGAGCAAATTCCAAAGAAAAAAGCAAATGGCATTTTCAGCACAGCAGCTCTGCCAGAAAATGCCGAGCGCAGCAGAATTCGTGAAGTTGTCCCCTATGAGGAGAATCGAGTAGAGCTGATACCAACCAAAGAAAATAACACAGGATACATTAACGCCTCCCACATCAAGGTAAGAAGGCAGCCTGTTAGAAGGTTTCTTAAAGATAGCTGGGTTAAAGGTAAAAGTGCAGGGAGAAGAAAATGTGTGGGCTGCAACTGTGCCTTTTGGCTTGTCCCCAGACCCTCAGGGAGTGTTTTTGAACTCCTGTGCTTTTCTTAGTCAAGTGGAAGGGCATGTCTATCACTGCAGAGAGAAGGAAGTCTAGCAGCCTCAGGAGAAACCTCAGGTCAGCGATTTCTGAAGCCTGCTCATTACCGAGGCTTTAACTTTTCCTTCTCTCTGTGGGCTATAACTGTCTCTGTACTCACAGGAAAAACTGAAGATTATCCTTTTCAGTTTGTAATTAGCAAGTGATGGAGACTTTGGAAGTAACAGGTATTGCATTACTGACATTAACGTTTTATGTTCAATAACAACAGCTTATAATATACAGGTTAGGCATTTTATAGCACAAGTCTTATTATTGCATGGTATTTAAAAGAATGGAGTGATTTTCACCTAAACTATAAAAGTGTGGTTAATATTGAATCTTGAAAGATTTTCCACATTAGTCAATTAATTTGTGTTACTAAATTTTTGTTACTATTTCAAATACCTCAAACATTTTTATGTCAGTATTACATAGTTTATCAGTTCTGCAGTTCAAAGTTTGAGTGATGGATATATGTGTACACATAGTTAAATCTTTCCTAAATAGCTTACCTTCCTCAGCGTCCCTATTCACAGAGGACACTTACTTCAAATGTCACCATTTGCTCTGAACTCTTAAGTAGGAGAATTTATTCATCTATTAATGTTAAAACCATTGTTGTAGGATATTGTTGAATGACACAAGGTTCAGTTAATTGTTGTAATCAGTAGCCTTAGAAACCTGTTTCCATCCTTGTCTAGAATTACTTGCTTTCCTCTTTGTACTTTTTACCTGTAGAAGAATTATTAATAGGTTCCTTTGAGCTTCTAAAGGCTAGTTAGGTATCTAGCTTGTGTATCAGTTATAACTAGTTTTGACACGGAAGTATTTTTTATTAATATACACAGATAACCATATTTTTTTAATAATTATGACCGGGCTCGGTGGCTCAAGCCTGTAATCCCAGCACTTTGGGAGGCCGAGGCGGGTGGATCACAAGGTCAAGAGATCAAGACCATCCTGTTCAACATGGTGAAACCCGTCTTTACTAAAAATACAAAAAAAATTAGCTGGGCACGATGGCGCGTGCCTGTAGTCCCAGCTACTTGGGAGGCTGAGGCAGGAGAATTGCCTGAACCCAGGAGGCGGAGGTTGCGGTGAGCCGAGATCGCGCCATTGCACTCCAGCCTGGGTAACAAGAGCGAAACTCCATCTCAAAAAAAAAAAAAATTAGAAAGTACTGTCAAAGAAGTATAAAAGAGCAGCTATCATAGATCATATTGCTAATTTTTAGTCTGGTTTTTTGAGAGTGAGAAGTAAAAATTGGACCCTAGGAAACTCTTAAATAAACTGGCAATGGTGTGTTTCATGGGCTTAGTTTAGATTCTGAAACAGTGACCAAAGTAACGTATTCAAAGAAGGATGCAGATCACACAGCTGCTTCTTGATGGAGTGTCTATGAACATCTTGCATCGCAATAGTGTATTATCTTCTTCTTTTGGCCAGATCTCTTCCACCATTTTCCATCTGCTCTCTGAAAAAAGCCGTCCCTCTGTATAAACTGTGCCCATTGGGTATCGTTAACCGAGAAGCATTCCCTTCCTTGGTATTCTCTGCGGCCCACATTTCATCCTGTGGATCCAGGTTAGACATGGGTGCATTTAATAGACCCATGAGCTTGCAAGAACTTGGCCCAGTGTTTTGGAATAGAGGTGTATATTTTGCCGATGTTTTCCCCCCTGGGTTCCAAGCAGCCATTAACACAGAACAGAGATTTATTTGCTCCAGAGGTGGAATCACATCTGTGAAATCTACCTCAGTAGCACTGCTTGTTGTGTTTTTAATGCAGGTTTTAATACCCCCCTGTCAATACTTGGAACATGCTGAAAGGCCCCAGGCAGCAGCATTCTCTGGAAGTATTTATGGTTCCTATATGTTGGGTGCCAGAGAGGCTAATGTTTAAAATCACAATTCCACAGATAAACCAAACTCCTAGCCAGCAAATATATGAATGTTGTCTCCCACCAGTATTTGGAAAATGGATTTTTCTTGCCAGCTTTGACCCAAACATGTCTTGTGTGATGAGACAATAACTTATATTGTTTTTGTTTGAATTAAGTCAGCACACAGTTTTACAAAATAAACGAGGGAGCAAAGTTTCAAACAGTGATCACTTCATTGCTTTTTGATCTCTCCAGAGATCTGCATTGCATAGATGTAGAAGGAGCCTGACTTTGCAATATTAAGGCACAGAGCTTGAAGGGAGAACAGAAAGAATTCCTCCAGAGGCCGCCATTTCACCTTGACAGCATGACCTTTACCACTTTGAGTACAACTTCTCATTTCTGGTTCTCTGCAGCTAGTATTTATAGCTGTAGAAGTATCTCCTGATCACCCTGAGCTGCATGGGGTAATAATTTTATTATCTGAAGTCATGTCATGACTCTGTAGTTCAGTTGGCTGCGGTGGTACTACCAAGGTGAAGTTCTTGATAAAATATGTGCTGTTGACAAGGGCATTCGTAGCATCTCTGCTGTGCGTGGCACCACAGAGCAGCAGTGACAGCAGAGGTTTATGGTACCCTTCATATCCGATCCGCAGGAGAAAGATAGTGATCCAGAAGGGACGTTGTTCCGTGGTCGTTTTTTTTGTTTTTTGTTTTGTGTGTGTAATTGGATGCCCTGGAGTGCTGCTTTTCAAACTGGATCGTAACACAGTGGTAGAATGTGAAATCAGTTTGGTGGTCATGACCAGGTGTGTGTTGTGTGTGTGTGTCTGCGTCTGTGTGCATTAATCAAATAGACTAGACTACAGAAGAGAAAAGAATGGAAAGTGTCAGAGTACATTGCACATAGTAAGCATAACTATTATTTCCGTAACGAATCCTAAGTTATACATGTTCATGTAGATGCATATATACATGTATCTGTGTGTATGTGTTTTTAATAGGCACTAGTTTGTATATACTGTGATTTGTAAACCAAGATCAAGTTAAGGCCAGGCAGGGTGGCTCACTCCAGTCATCCCAGCACTTTGGGAGGCTGAGGTGGGTGGATCACCTGAGGTCAGGAGTTCAAGACCAGCCTGGCCAACATGGTAAAACCCTGTCTCTACTAAAAATGCAAAAGTTAGCCAGGCATGATGGCAGGTGCCTATAATCCCAGCTCCTCCAGAGGCTGAAGAAGGAGAATCACTTGAAGTCGGGAGGCAGAGGTGGCAGTGAGCCGAGATCATGCCACTGCACTCCTGCCTGGGTGACAGAGTGAGACTCCGTCACAAAAAAAAAAAAAGGATCAGGTAGATATTTTAATAGACATGAGTGACAAAAGTCTTTTCATGTGAGGCTGTGTCACTAGCCTCTGTAGTCTCAGGATTTCTGTTAATTGAACTAATTCATTTGGCCCAAAAACTATCCAAGGTTTTAAAGTGTATACAGATGGACAGGTGGTCAGTAGGCAATGCTGTTCCGGACTTGGGGTTTATTTACTGACGCTTTCCTTGGTTTTCAGGTGGTGGTTGGCGGGGCAGAATGGCACTACATAGCCACCCAGGGGCCCCTGCCACACACGTGCCACGACTTCTGGCAGATGGTATGGGAGCAGGGAGTGAATGTGATTGCCATGGTCACCGCAGAGGAGGTAAGGGGAACGGCCTACTCCACGTCCTTTTCCCCAGGGCAAAGGGTAGCCAGAAGGTGGGCTTTGTACTGGCAATTTCGTTAACCTCTCCCTCTTCCTGCAGTGCTGTTTCTCTGCAAATGCTTTTCTCTTTGGTATCCATCTATTTTCTCTTCTTACTTCCAGATAGATATTTTTTCCCATGGGAATAATTGATTGTTGTAGCTTTTCCTCCTCCCATTTTCATCTGGCTTTTAACTCTTTCCTTGGATTGCCACACACTAAACTGAAAATAAAACAACAGAAAACCAAAAAATGACCAGACTTTAGTTCAACCCGCTGACTTTGTGCCAAATGAAACAGTGAGCTTTCCACTGGAATGGGAGAGTCTCAGGCTACTCTGGGCAAATTGACACAGATGCCCAACTCCAGGCACCTAGCTCCACATGCATCATGCTTATCAGCTGAAAAGAGACCAGAAACTTGTTCCTGGAGAGGCCTCTGTTCTTTGGGGAGAGAAAAATATATCTTTTTCTTCTTTTGCCAAGCCAAACATAGTTTTCTGCTATAACTAGAGAACTCTGTGTGATGTTATAAAAAACCAGCCTACACTGCCAGTCCAGTTGCTGTTCAGCTTGCTGTCTTTGAGGGGAGAAGTGTTGTGTTTCTTCTCTTGTCACATTCTCCTTCTTTTATTTCTTTCATTAAATTCCAGTTTATGTTTTGAAATCATTCAAGGGACTAGTTTAGTGTGTGTTTACCAGTATCCATGGTATTGCAGTGGCCTTTCCTAGCTATGTTAAAGGGAACAAAGAAAATCGGGGAGGAAAAAGTCATATTTTCCTTCATTGACTGTTCTGAGCATTGCTTTTCAGCACAGTCCATTAGAAGAAAATAATGAAAGGGAATTCAGGCTCTTTAAAGCCAGTTGTACTTCCCTGGGCTGACCCGTTTGACCTTCCCACAAAGAGAAGGAATCCTCCTTAAAGCTTCTAGAATAGATTTATCACCTCATCAGATCACATCATTTCAAGGCATTCATTCACTTAAATACAGTTTACCTACCATCTGTGCTAACTTCAGGAGTACATGGTCAATGAGACAGGCACCATCCCTGTCCCCATAGAGCTTGTGTCCTAGTGAGAGGGACATTCAAAAGTGAACAAATAAAATAAATTCAGGTAGCAGTAAGTGCTGTGGCAAAAATGGAAAAGTACAGTCCAAAGAGGGTCTGGGTAGGTTGGTACAGAGGTAGGTCCTCCGGCCTCATCCCTCTTCCTCTTTGTGTGGGTTTTAGCCGCAAAACTGCCATTTACACCGGGGCACTCCTACTAAAGGATAGCTTCCGGATGTGCGACCCCGAGCTCCAGGCTCTGTATCATGTCTCACATTTGCTGGAAGGCTGGAAGTGAAAACCTTATTAATAGGAGCATAAATTCAAGGGAGAAAAAAAAATTTTTTTTTTTTTTTGAGACGGAGTTTCGCTGTTGTTACCCAGACTGGAGTGCAATGGCATGATCTCGGCTCACTGCAGCGTCCGTCTTCTGGGTTCAAGCAATTCTCCTGCCTCAGCCTCCCGAGTAGCTGGGACTACAGGCGTGCACCACCATGCCCAGCTGATTTTTGTATTTTTAGTAGAGACGGGGTTTCACCTTGTTGACCAGGATGGTCTCGATCTCTTGACCTCGTGATCCACCTGCCTCAGCCTCCCAAAGTGCTGGGATTATAGGTATGAGCCACCGCGCCCGGCCTGAAAAAAAATTTTTTTTAATGGAACAAAAGGTTAGGAGAGAGCGTGACTAAGGGATACTTTAGATCAGGGGGTGGCCAAGGACCCTCTGAGGAAGTGGTATTGCAGGTGAGACAGGAGTGACAAGGGGCCAGCCTTGCTAAGACGAATAGCGTTTAGTGATCTGTGGGAGAGCTGGGAACTCATAGTTTTTTTAAATCCATAATTGATTTATACACTCAGCAGAAATATAAATTTGAGGTATATCTGCTTTCACATGATTGGTAAATAAAAGAGCAAGACATGTTTCCCACTTAAGGAGACTCAATTAAACCAAATGAAGTCAGGCAAGGTAATTTGTATCCCCCAAAGACATGTTGCTTTGCAAGTAGGCTAGACCTTAGGGTTCCTCTAAACAGCCATCAGGGTTCCCAGAGCCTGTCACCACTGCAGCTCTGTGTTCAGTGTTCCTTCTCTCTCACCACCTACTCCTTGCCCTGAATCTCCTCAGCTACCACCTCCTCCACACTCCACCTCTTCTCCAGGGATTTGAAAACCGTGTAAAACTTAAACATAGACCTTGTGTAAATGGTTGAGAGTACAGAGTCTCAGAAAAGATTATAAAATCAAGGGAGAAAGAACAGTGATGTGACCAGCTCTTCTCAGTTCTAGTTGTAGATTGAACTGAAACAAATTGGTCAGGCTCAAAAAAATGTGAGATTGACACTAGCTAAAGACAGCATCAGTAGTCATTGTGCTGTCACAGAAAGAGCTCTGGGCTGAACATCTGAGAGGAGTAGCGTGACCTAGAGCACTTGCTGGAACCTCTTGCTCCCTCGTTTAAAACCTTTGTGACTTCCCATTGCCCATGGAGTGAAATCCCAACTTTCCACCATGGACTGTGAGGCCGTTCCAGTGTCCTCTCCTCCCACCTGCCCCTCACATGTCACACTCCAGCCACCCGGAAGACCTTGGTTTCTTGAATGCACCAAGCTTGTTCTTGCTTCTAGACTTTGCACTTGCACCTCTAACATTCAACTGCATCTCAGTTGTGAATCTTTTACCTTTTACACTCATATAACTGTCATTGTAAAGACCATAGCTTTTGGTCTTAATTAGCACGTATAGGATCTACCCTGTGGTAGACACTGCAGAGTGCTACTGAGCCTAGTGATTTAGAAGCTATTTGCATTTTCTTCTGTCTTCACATTTTAGGATTAAGAGGATGGGAGCTTCCTTTGAGCTATTTCCAATTTTGCTTTTATGTGTGATTTAGGAGGGCGGACGAACCAAAAGCCACCGATACTGGCCCAAACTGGGTTCCAAGCACAGCTCAGCCACCTATGGCAAATTCAAGGTCACCACAAAGTTTCGAACTGATTCTGTTTGCTATGCAACCACGGGCTTGAAGGTCAAGCACCTATTATCTGGGCAAGAAAGGACAGTGTGGCATTTACAGTATACTGACTGGCCAGATCACGGCTGCCCAGAGGACGTCCAAGGGTTTTTATGTAAGTTTTTTTCTTCCAAGTCTGTGTGTTACCTGACTATTACAAACTGTGTCAATAATCCATCTGTTGGAGATGGAATAGAAAAAAAAGATGCTTTCTCTTAAGTGGCAGAAGTGTCATAACATTGAAATGTGTTCCTTCGTTACTATGTAGAACAGAGAAGAATAATCCATGTCACTTATTCTGTTTACCTTTCATGCACATAAGCTAAGACTGTGGTCGACGAATTGGCTGTACCTTGATTTAGACCTTTAGCTACTCATTTAATCAGTACTTATTCTGACACACGCTACAACAAGGATGAACCTTGAGGAATGATACTGTGTGGAGATAATCCAGTCACAAAAGAATAGAAGTTGTGATTCTATTTACATGAGGTACCTAGAATAGGCAAAGTCAGAGAGAAACTAGGTGAGAGGTTCCAGGGGCTGAGGCAAAGGGGGATTACAATTTTTTTTTTTTTTTGAGGTGGAGTCTCACTCTGTCGCCCAGGCTGGAGTGCAGTGGTGCGATCTCGGCTCACTGCAACCTCTGCCTCGCAGGTTCAAGCATTTCTCCTGCCTCAGCCTCCCAAGTAGGTGGGACTACAGGCACAGCCATCACACTTGGCTAATTTTTGTATTTTTAGTAGACACGGTGTTTCACCATATTGGCCAGGATGATCTCGAACTCCTGCCTCAAGCAATCTGCCCACGTCAGCCTCCCAAAGTGCAGGGATTACAGGCACGAGCCACCGTACCCAGCCAGGAATTACTATTTGATGGGTGCAAGATTTCTGTTTGGGACCGTGAAAAAGTACTGGACATGGTGGTGATGGTTGCACACTGTGAATATGCTTGATGCCACTGATCTGTATGTTTAAAAATGGTTAACTGGTAAATTTTATGTTGTGTTCACTTTAGCACATTAAAAAAAAAAAAGGAGAAATAAAAATTTAAAATAGGCCAAGCGTGGCTTATGTTGTAATCCCAGCACTTTGGGAGGCTAAGATGGACAGATCACCTGAGGTGAGGAGTTTGAGACCAGCCTGGCCAACATGGTGAAAACCCATCTCTCCTGAAAATGCAAAATTAGCCAAGCATGGTGGTGCATTCCTGTAATCCCAGCTACTGGGGAGGCTGAGGCAGAAGAATTGCTTGAACCTGGGAGGCGAAAGTTGCACTGAGCCGAGATTGCAGCATTGCACTCCAATCTGGGCAACAAGAGTGAAACTCTTATGTAAAAAAAAAAAAAAAAATGTGCCGGCGCGGTGGCTCAAGCCTGTAATCCAGCACTTTGGGAGGCTGAGGCGGGTGGATCACAAGGTCAAGAGATCGAGTCCATCCTGGTCAACATGGTGAAACCCTGTCTCTACTAAAAATACAAAAAGTTAGCTGGGCATGGTGGCGCGTGCCTGTAGTCCCAGCTACTCAGGAGGCTGAGGCAGGAGAATTGCCTGAACCCAGGAGGCGGAGGTTGCGGTGAGCCGAGATCGCGCCATTGTACTCCAGCCTGGGTAACAAGAGTGAACCTCCGCCTCAAAAAAAAAATTTTTTTAAATAAATGAATAAATAAAATTTCTCATGAAGGTTTGCATTCTCACAAGCCCTATATTTCCCTACAGTGGTAAACCTCAGTACTTTCTCATGCTTTTTTATATTTTTATGAAAACACTAAGAAGTATTGAAACCCTCTTGTAGTTTTTGAAACTGAAATTTGCTTAACGACTAATTCATTAAATTCTGTATATGTGTATTTTTAGAACATGGTTATATTAGAAACTAATTCACCAGATTATGTGCAGTATTTTATTTGAAAGGCCAAAAATTGGGCATGTACCCACTACATGCCAGGCACTGGATGGGGCAGAGATGACACTGAGTTCACAGTCTTTGCTTTCAAGGTATTCCCAGTCTAAAGGGAAAGACAGGCCAGTCATCACTGTCTGAAGATGAGATCTGATACCCTCCTCTGCTTTTCAGTGGTGGCTGCAGCTCTCTCTTCTTTTCCATATGCTCACCTGACTATCCTGTGCTTGTCAGGAAACCCCATTTCTTACCCAGCTGGAAAGGAGCCCTGGATGCTCCCTGTAGCCTGTGCCTGCTCTGTTGTTGACTCTCCAGCTAGAGGAGGACCTGTGACCACCATGGAGGGACCGTCATCCAGATGCTGGATAATGTCACAACCTTGATTTTATTTTGGTATTCATTTAGAATGGGAGAAGAAAGGAAGGAGAGAGAGAACAGGTTTTGAAGAGCTAAAAATACTGATTTACAGCTTTTAACAAATATTCTGATGTGTACTTATCCAGCGATAAAAGCATTTCATTTCTGTGAAAGTGACAATGGTACTTGTGGGTTTGGTACTGAAAGCAGAGACTAGAAGGATGACTGGAGTCAGAGGATCTTGAGTAAGATCCAGAGAGGATTCATGATTTGCCTGCGGGTCAAATGGGTCTGTAGCTTAAAATACTAATAAGAACTTCCCTTCCTCCTAACAGTGCTCATTGTATTTCTTTCAGCTGATCACTTGCGAATTGACTTACTAAAATTTTCTACAAGAAGCAGAAAATTGAAATAATGTAAATAGATCAGTTTGTTGATTAGCTAACAACTCTGATGAAAGAGTGAGCGTATAGGGCACTTTAAAGTATAGTCTTTTGCCGGGCACAGTGGGAGACCAAGGTAGGTGGATCATGAGGAGATTGAGACCATCCTGGCTAACACTGTGAAATCCCGTCTCTACCAAAAATACAAAAAATTAGCCAGTTGTGCTGGTGGGTGCCTGTAATCCCAGCTACTCAGGAGACTGAAGCAGGAGAGTCGCTTGAACCCAGGAAGCAGAGGTTGGAGTGAGCTGACATTGCATCACTGCACTCCAGCCTGGGCTTCAGAGCAAGACTCTGCCTCTAAGTAAATATATAAATAGATAGCTAGCTAGATAGAATAGTCTTTTAAATCAGAACCAATTAAGGAAACCCTGTCTACATTACCAAAGAATACATAGTATTTTTTAAAAATGTAAAGGTAAGTGTTATGTTTTTAGGAAACTCAATACCCATATGCCATGCAGGGCATTAGAAATGTTGAATTGGGTCTCCTAGGTTTTAAAAGGTTTTTGCCTGTGTTGGAATTAGATTGCCTGGATGCAGAGTACCCAAGCCAAATTGTTTACTGCCCTCCAGAAGTCTTTATTGAGTTACAGCATAAGGAATTTTATTAATATGATTGACGGAGGAAACATCCATTTGAATCGACCTTCCCTCCACTACATGAAAAGCTCTATTTGAAAGTGTCATTACCCAACATTCCTTTTGTTTTTCTTCTTAAATTTAGCTCAAGTAAAGCTTTGTCTCTTGTATGTGAATATTGCCTTTGGTCAGACAGAATACTCAGTTGCCTAATGTCTCTCCCACTTGCAGAAAAATTGTAAAGATTCCACAAACAGTATCTAGCTTGTATCGGTGCCTAAATAACTACTCCCTCTCTGCATCTCATAGCATCTTCTTTCTTGTTTTGTCCTATCTTATTTTACTGCCAGCAGTACTGCTATGACTAGTACTAACACAGTTATTACTAATCATCGTCGTCGTCGCAGTAGTGGTGGTGATACTAGTTTGCTTATTTGGTAAACCACTTCAGATTATTTTATAATTAGGTAAGTATATAAAGGAAAGTACGGGTTCTTTATATATATGTCTAAACAGATGCTTTTAAATTATTTGAATGGCTCAAACCCACTTTTTTCTCTTCAACAGTGTAAACATTTCCCCTAGAGTCTTGTTTACACTTTTACCTTAGGATGAGGTTCACTGAGTGTCAAGAACCTTTAAACCTCTGTTTCTCTCCTCAGCTACTGACCTAAGTTATTAATTAATTTTGGGGGGTTTTGGGAATGTCTGAGGATTATATTTCTATACTTTTCTCTTTTGTCATGGTTGTGAAAAAAGTCATTAAGGCTTGGAATCCTGTAATTTTTCTTTTGTGCCTGATTGGAGTCATGAACACACCCCTCCCTGCACAGCCCTGCTGAGCCAGGCAGATGCTGGAAGGCATGGGGGGGTATCATGACCCCTCCATCTCGTACACATGTTGCCTCCAGAAAGGGGGTTCATCTTGGGCTATTTTCATAGCCCCATGGAATCCATGCTGGAAAGCAGACTCCCCAAAGTCTACTTTAAAATCCAAAAATGAAGTCAAGCCTCAGTTGACATTCACTCATCAGTGAGGGGAAGGAAGAAGGGGCAGATGGATGCTCTCTCTCCACCAGAAATTGGCTCTGACAGGCGGGCGTTTCAAGGGGACTTAGCAGTTGTTCTGATCCCAGTCTGTTAATAGCAGGAATTGCTGTAAGTAATGTCTAGAATCATCTGCTTGGGGGACTTAGGGATTTGCAGAGGGGAAAACAGAATTTAATTTTTAAAAAAGAACTATTTAATTTAAAGAACAAATTCTCCCACGAACTAATCGACTCCCAGCTGGTCCTTTCTGGATCCAGGACTGTACAGTGGGTACCAGCCAAATAATTAGTGTCTTGTAAGAACTGTAAATTATTGTCACTTAAAAAAAAAAAAAGAAAAACACATTCACCATCAGTTCTCTTCTGCTCCCCCTCCCCAACTTATATACAAAGCCATGGAGGACTTTGGTGACAGGATTTGCATTTTGTCCTGCAGCCTACTTGGAGGAGATCCAGTCGGTCCGTCGCCATACCAACAGCATGCTGGAAGGCAGCAAGAACCGGCACCCGCCCATCGTGGTCCACTGTAGTGCTGGGGTGGGAAGGACCGGTGTGGTCATTCTTTCTGAGCTGATGATCTACTGCTTGGAGCATAACGAAGTGAGTCATTCTGGGCTTCTCTCTGAATACTCCACCTTGGGGACAAGTCTACACCCTGGCCAGACCTTTGCTGGGCCCTTGCATTTTCAGTGGTTAATTTCCTCTCTCCTGACATTTATAGGCCGCCTTATCTTTTTGGCCTCCCACTACTCCATGTAAATACCCAGATAAAAGGAGAAATGAGAGTGTGCAATAGAAAAAAAAAACACTTAGAAAATGTGATCTTAGCGTCTACTTTCAGAAGTCTATAGCATTTTGGTTTTATTGTGGGTAATTTTCCATGGTGAGTTATTTGACCCCATATAGTTTAGATGCGTCTTGCATTTCTAGGATGTGTTCTAGCCTACTAGGTGAAAATATGTCTACTTGGAAAATGTTTTTCATTCTTCAGAGTAAGGTTTGGGGGTCATTCGCTTGTCTAGTCTGGCGGTTGCGTGGTGTAGCGGAGCAGAGTAGATACTTTGAGCACACAAACACCCCCATCTTTGCCTTGGCTGGTCGCCCTACCCCTTCTCCTTGCAGAATTGGGCTGCTCCTGAGCCTGTGCACACAAGGTGTGTGGCATTCCTTTGCTGCTGGAGGACTAGGGATTTAAACTGAGAGGGTTTTGGTTTTGTGTAGGTGAGATAAACAGGAGTCAAAGCTAAGGAATAGTTCTTCTCCCTTCTAATTACATGGGACACTAGAATTTTTAAGGGGCTTTTATCTGCTATATCAGCCAAGTAAAGGAGCCATGTACATGTTACTCCTCCTGTTTGACAGAAGAGGAAACTGAGGCCCAGAAATAATTACGTGATTTGTCTAGTGCTATGTGGCTCTTACGCAGTGGAACCGAGGCAAGAAGCAAGGTCTTCTCTGTCTGTGTCCAGAGTTATTTCCGGTTCTTTGCTCTGCCTCCAAACACTGAATAAGATTTGGTTCTTCTCAGTTTTCAAATTATATGGCTTGAAAAATTAAAGGAACCTTGTGGTTTGGTAGTCCTTAAATTACAGAATGATTTGTTGCAATTCGGTGGAGGAATTCATATGATGATACACCTATTTATTCAATAGCATGAATAGTTTGAAAATCAGATTAAATACTGCTATATAAAGTTTGTCACATTGAAACATCCAGAAAAAACAACAAATGTTAAACATGTTCAAAGGATTTTTAAACGCTCTGCCTATGAAAAGATAATTTTGAGTAACTTCTAGTCTGTCCGTGGGAATGTTTGTGCTGCTAAAAATTGGAAGAGGGGCAATCCTAACTGTAGCCTAATGTTAGAAAAACATAAAACAAAGCTTGAGCGAATGGAGTCAGTTGAGACTCCATAATAGAAATGGCATTGCCCTCTGAGTTTTTACCATTTTGTCCCACGTAGGATTTTTTTATTGCTTCTCTATTCCTGTCAATATTACAAATCTCTAGAACAAATGAGTAACCTGCCACAGAGTCTTAATCCATCCATCCATTGCTAGGAAGACAAAATAAGATGAGGTGGAATCAGTGTGTGCATGGCTTGAGGGCCTCATGATCACCTCCCCCATCTAATTGTCCCTCCCTTTCCCTCATATCATTTTTGTCACCAAACTCCCCCCTTGTTTTCTTTTTTTTGAGACAGGGTGTTACTATGTTGCCCAGGCTGGTCTCAAACTCCAGGGTTCAAGTGATCCTCCCACCTTGGTCTCCCGAATTGATGGGATTATGGTGTGAGCCACAAGGCCTGGCCACTCCCCTTCTTTCCCCGTTCTCTGTGCTCCACTCCCCATTTCCCCTTTTCAACTCAAGAAGCCATTCTGTCTTGTCTGACATGAAAGACTGTTCTGTTCTGAGCTCTTTGGAGACCCATCAAAGGCTGAGCCTCAGTGAGGTGATGACATGGGGGCTCGCTGAACACCAGATGTTATTGGTCCGGCAGAACACAGAGAAGGCATATCAAAGGCAGAACAGTTTGGAGTGAGAGCTTTGGCCTACGTGGTCTCCTGTGGACTTGGTGAAGGCTTGCGGTGGTTAAATGCTCGATGATGTGTCCAAACATAGCGGATTCCTCAGTGCCTAACTGCACGCCAGAATATTCTTTGCTGGAACGTGGTCAATCCGAAAAGAACTTCTGTTCCCATTGATATTCAAAGATAGCAAGATGACTCATATTTTTCACTTCACTTCCCCTAGCACAAATATAGCTGGTCTTATCCGTCCTACTTCCCAGGATTGCTATTGGTAGATGGTTAGGGGGAAATGCTCTACTTCTGTTCTGATACTGTTTCAGGCCTGGCTAGTAAGATCCAAGCCCCTATTTCAGGAGAAGAGTAGACCATGTTTAGTTTATTTTGTTTGTTTTTCAAGCAAAGATTATAACAAATAAATAAATATTAAACTTTGGATCCCATTTTTCTCCTGTCCAAACTCCACTGCCTTCTTTCCGCAGCTTCTGGATGTAACATACTTCATATTTCAGTCTGTAATTCATGCAGTTATAATTCTGTCAGTGAAATGGCCTTCCTCTTTTTGACTTGTCCCTCTCAGTCTCATTTTAAACACAGAAAAGTTGAGCAGAAACAATGAAACACAGACACTTGCAATGAAGTTGGTAGCTGTGTGGTGGGGAGTGGGGACAGCTGCCCCAGGCTGCTCTGGGAAGCCTCCCTGTGGCCCAGTCCTTTTGGTCACTCAGTGTTAGGTGAGACATTTTAAGATGCATAAAACTTTTCAGAAAGCAGTCATTTTATGGTCTGCAGTACATTCTGAGTCCCCTGGATGTAGCTGTCTATTCTAACTACAGCTAATTACAAATGGTCAGGATCTCAGTAGCGGAAGGGCAGATGCCTTGATCCTGCCGCTTTTCTGAGTAAGTTACACCTTACTCGTAAACTGAGGAGGTGAAAATGTCTTCTAGACAAGATTGAGCAAGCGTCAACTGCTTTGTGCTTCCTTGGCTTGGGGCCACTTATCAGCATAGCCTGTGGGAGTGAATCTTTAAGCCAGCCAGGACCCTTTCATTGAAGACCAGGAGAACTTTCTTTGACGAGTCCCCAGACTTCTCCATATCAGACAATATACTGTCATTTAGGCTCAGTCCTACAGGTAATTGAGATGGGAATGATGGTAGAGGAGGAGGAGGATGATGAGGCAGTAGAGGAGGTGGTGATGGTGACAACATTGAAAACAATATGATAACAGCTAGCTTGTGTCTAGTGCTCACCATGTGTACGCACTATTCTAAGAGCCTTACAGTATTATGTAAAGTTAGTCCTGTTAGTACCTGTGTTAGTCCATTCTCACTCTGCTGTAAAGAACTACCTGAGACTGGGTAATTTATAAAGGAAAGAGGTTTAACTGATTCACAGTTCTGCAGGCTGTACAGGAAGCATGGCTGGAGGCCTCAGGAAACTTACAATCGTGGCAGAAGGGCCAAGGGGAAGTAAGCAGGTCTTCAGCGTGGCAGCAGGAGAGAGAGAGAGCAAAGGGGGAAGAGCAGCATACTTTTAAACAACCAAATCTCATGAGAATTCACTATTACAAGGATAGTAAGAAGGAAATCTGCCCCCATGTTCCAGTCACCTCCCACCACTCATCTTGATTACCATTCAAGATGAGCTGTCAGTGGAGACAAAGAGTCAGACCATATCAGTATCCTTACATAACAGAAGAGAAACTGGGTCATAGGTAAATGAAGTATTGTGCCCACATCTCACAGCCAAGAAGTGGTAGAGTTGAGATTCAGCAGATGAAGCCTGACTCAGAACCTGTGCTCTGAACATCAGCGTGATCCTGCCTCCAGGCGAAAGCCTTTGGTGGATAGGGGAGAGTAGCAGCCTTATTCTCTCTATTCTTGTATCTTCAGTGCCCAACCACAGAGTAATCCTCATCAGACATGAAATTAAGTTCATCATTAGGTGGCTGTAGGTCACATGTCATTATACTGGTCACTTTGCAATATAGTTTAGGCAGAGACCTGCTTGTTACCAACAGAAGCTTGTAACATAGCCTCTTTATTTTGATTCATCATTTGAAGATTCACATGCCTTTGTCTTCTTTTCTTATTACGCAGGGACTTGACTGTGTCCCTTTGCACCACTGTGATTGCACCACTGCACTCTAGCCCAGGCAACATCACAAGTCTGTGATGGCCATTCCTTAGTTGCTGTTGGACAAGAGTGACTGATGGCATGTGTCATCTTATAACTATACACGGTTTGGAAATAACTGAAATTAGTTTTTCAAGGTTGAAAGGTTTCAAAGTCAGACATACAGCTGAGTTTTTATTATTTTCTTTTAAACACTGGCTTAGCCCTTGAAAACTTCATGGGTCATCATTTGTCCTGTAAGAAGAGTTCCCAGAGCAGAGTGAATGTGCTGAGGCCACTATGGCCTCCACAGCTCAGGGGTGCTCCAGCCATGCGTGTCCTGGCTGGTGCAGGAGGATGCACATGGTGAAGGTGAGAACAGAGGACACTGTGGCAGCCACTGGTCTGCCCAAGTACCCATTACACTGTGTTAATTTCCTTCCATTAATGATAGTATATATCATTGTATATATTCTCAAAGAGTTCACACATAGGCAATCTCATTTAATACACAATGTTCTCATTTAAGACTCGAGGCCAGGCTCTCACAGTTGCTCTCACTCATAATCCTAAGACTTTTAGAGGCCAAGGCTGGAGGATTGCTTGAGCTCAGGAGTTTGAGACCAGCCTGGGCAACACAGTCAGACCTCGTTTCTACACAAAATTTTTAAAATTAGCCAGGCGTGGTGGTGCTCGTCTATAGTCCCAGCTGCTTAGGAGGCTGAAGTGGGAGAATTGCTTGAGCCTAGGAGGTTGATGTTGCAATGAGTTAAGATTGCACCACTGCACTCCAGCCTGGGCGACAGAGCGAGACCTTGTCTCAAAAAAGGTGTTCTCTGTTAAAGACTTTTACTCCAAGTAGGACTGGTGTTCAGAGATGGTGCTTTGACATTTTAAAGGTTCACACTTAAATCATCTCACTTGATCACAGCCACAATCTGTGAGGTTATAATTGCATTAATAACACTTTTTTTTTTTTTTTTTTGAGACGGAGTTTCGCTCTTGTTACCCAGGCTGGAGTGCAATGGTGCGATCTCGGCTCACCACAACCTCCACCTCCTGGGTTCAGGCAATTCTCCTGCTTCAGCCTCCTGAGTAGCTGGGATTATAGGCACGCGCCACCATGCCCAGCTAATTTTTGTATTTTTAGTAGAGACAGGGTTTCACCATGTTGACCAGGATGGTTTCGATTTCTTGACATTGTGATCCACCCGCCTCGGCCTAATAACACTTATTAATGTCAATAAAGGAATAATGAGGCCGGGCACCGTGGCTCACACCTGTAATCCAAGAACTTTGGGAGGCCAAGGCGGGCAGATCACCTGAGGTCAGGAGTTCAAGACCAGCCTGGCCAACACAATGAAACCCTGTCTCTACTAAAAATACAGAAAATTAGCTGGGCATGGTGCCACACGCCTGTAATCCCAGCTACTCCAGAGGCTGAGGCAGGAGAATCTCTTGAACCTGGAGGGCAGAGGTTACAGTTAGCCGAGATCACACCACTGCACTCAGCCTGGGCAATAAGAGTGAAACTCTCTCTCAAGAAAATTTAAAAAAAGGAATAATGAGTAATATTTATTAAGCACTCACTATGCACTAAATGCTTGATATGTATTTCATTATTTGATCCTGTGAGGTGGATGTTATTTTATACCCCACATTATTGCTGAGGAAATGTGTAACTAGGGCAAGGCCACAATGCTGATAGAGGAAAGGATTATTATCCTGATTTTATAGATGAGGAAACCAAGACCCTGAGATGTCTTAAATCCTGTCATTGGGATGTGGTGGAGTTGAGAGTACCAGTCAGGTCTAGTCAGGTCTAACTCCAGCCTTTATCTTTTATCCAAAAGACTAGTCTGTATTTAAAATAATACACCAGGACAGGTGTGGTGGCTCACGCCTCCAGCACTTTGGGAGACTCAAGTAGGAGGATCGCTTGATCCCAGGAGTTCAAGGCTGCAGCGAGCTATGACTGTGCCACTGCACTGTAGCCTCGGTGACACAGAAGGACCCTCTCTTAGAAAATTTTAAATTAATAAAAAATGAAATATCCCACCAGTGACACATGATGGCCGGGTTCTCCAGTTGCTAGTGTAAACTGATACATGAAACTCAGCCGGGGCAGATTCCCTTGCTTTCTCTCGTACCTGGGCATGGGCAGTGGGTGAATGCTTCCTGAAATGAGGGAATGACGAATGCTCTAAGGGAAGCCTCCTGTCTCAGGCCTTACACTTTCTTTCTTTTCTTGCAGAAGGTGGAAGTGCCCATGATGCTGAGGCTCCTCAGGGAGCAGAGGATGTTCATGATCCAGACCATCGCTCAGTACAAGTTTGTTTACCAAGTCCTCATCCAGTTTCTCCAAAGCTCCAGACTCATTTAATTCCCCTAATCCAGCTCCTGGAGGAGGGACTCAGCTCCATCCCACAGGAGGAGAGTCACCTCCAGACAACATCTGCTCCCGCCACGGGGGTGCAGGTGGCTGGCAGCAAGCAGGCTCTCTGAAGACAGGAGCCAAGATTATTCACACGTACCATGTATTATTTTATATGAGATAATTTATTTTTTCCTCTTTGGAATAACTTTTGTGAATTATTATAATGCAGTTTACCTTATAATAGAGAACTTTTCATTTGAACCACATCTTGACTGATCTGCATTGTATTAGGAAATGTTTCCTGGTGAATCATTTTGGGGACAGAGGCATGAGGGAGCACATCTCTTGTGAAGTTGCAGCCAGATTTGTAACCAGCCCTGAAATTCATCAGCTTAATTCATTCATCATGCATTGTTTATGTCCAAAGCAAAGATGGCAAGAAAATGAATTCATCCTGAAATTGAAGAAAAGGGTCTGAAGGAGCAAACACGATTCTTTTACATTTTGGGGCTCGCGAGCCTTGATGGACAATTTTTCCTCTCCTTTTCTGCCCTCATCCTCAGCAATCTCCTCTCCCCCACACCCCTCCCACCCCATACTTGAGTTAGAACAGCTAAAGACAGCACTGCCTTTACAGTGCAATAATTGCCGCCTTTGGGGCTGAAAGAGAAGCTCTGTGTTGTGCTTTTCTTGACCACCCCTTATTCTGGGCTCAGGAGCTTGTCCCCTGCTGGGGACTGCACCCTGAGTATTTGCTGCTACCTCTCCTGTTTGCTAAGTAGGGCCCTGTCTGGTGGCATTGAGGCTCTGGGCCAGGCCATCTGTGCCGTTAAGGCTCTTCCCTGATTGAGAGAGGATAGCAGACCAGAGTGAAAAGAGAACGGATGGGCAGAGCCTTAAGGATTATGTTTTTCAGGCAGGGCCTTGATGATCAGTGCTTTTTGTTTAAATAAGATGGGTGTGCTGGACAGAGACGAGAAAGTTGAGGTCCTGGCTATGTTCCATCTTTCCATCAGTCACTAAGTCATTGGAAAGGTCATCAGGGAAACAGTTAGGGAAGGTGATTTATAGGAGCGGTTTGGCATTTAGCTATGTGGCAGGGGTCCTGGCCAGGAAACACATCAAATGTGGCCCCTGCTGTGCTGATGTTATATCTTCAGGCTTTGACCTGCAAGAGCAGAATTAATCCCACTCAGGATCCCATAGTCCAAATTTTGGGCCACTTGATGAACGGTGGTAGAATTTCTCATTCGCAAAGCCCTTTGCTTCTTTCCTTTTCTCCATAAAATCCACTCTCTTGTTAGTTACGGTATTAACTGTCTTCAGTTTGAATCCCAGTTCTTAGTTTCTTCCTGTGGCTTCATTGGTCAGTGTGTACTTCTGAATTTCTTAGGTTAATACACCATAAATCATGTTTTGCACATTTTTCCTCTTCATTTTGGGGGATTTATCATTCTATGTCTACTTTTTCTTGATTACAGCTTTCATATGCACCCGTTGGTACATGATGGGAAGTCACAGGGCGTGCTCTTTCTGGTTGATTTGATGCCACACTTTCCTTGTCTTTTCAGCTCGGGGAAAAGGCAGAGGCGGAGGGAAGCATATGGAACACCGCAGTGGTCAGTTCCAGGAACAAACCTGCAATTTAAAAACTAGGTACGGTGTCAGCCAGGTACAGTGGCTCACACCTGTAATCCCAGCATTTTGAAAGGCCAAGGCGGGCAGACTGCTTGAGCTCAGGAGTTCGAGACGAGCCTGGGCAACATGGTGAAACCCTATCTCTACAAAAAGTACAAAAGTACAAAAACTAGCCAGGCATGGTGGCATGCATCTGTAGTCCCAGCTGCTCAGGAGGCTGAGGCGGGAGGATAAGAATTTAAGACTGCAGTGAGCTGTGATCTTGCCACTGCAGTCCAGCCTGGGTTACAGAGAGACTCCTGTCTTCAAAAAATAAATAAATAAAAAGGTTGTCAAGGAAAACTAGATGTAATAGAAAGGAAAATTTAATTGCAGTTTTTTTTTCTTAGAATTGACTGCTGTGAGAGTTCTATATGCCTTTCTTCATTGCTGCTTTTTCCCCCGAGCTGAAGACATGAAGGAGGGGCACCAAATCAACCAGAAAAATTACACCTTTGTGACATCTCATCACCACATGCTAACAGGTGCGCACTCCCCATTAAGTTCTTTGGAATATGAATCCTCTCAGTTTCAACTTGGCCAGGTGTTGTGGTGTTTGTACTCGGTATTTAGACTCAGAATATCGGGGGATGGAGGGCTTCCCTTCTGTCTTCTACTTCAAGGTCTGAAAACTCAGTGAAGGAGTATAATCTGAGCTTTGTAGATTCTGGAGTTTTGTTGTATGTCCTAGAAAGAAAACCGTTCGTATTACATGTATTTTCAGTGGAATAGGGCTTAGAACCCTTATTATGAGAGGCTCCTCAATAGGCAAAAAGGTATTTGTTTCCTTTCCTTGGAGGTTTTCCCATCCTTGGGATATTCTCCTGTTAGGGATGTTTGAGCAGGTGGTCTCAGTTACTGTTTTATTGCATGATGGCCAACATCGGTATTTATCTTTTATCTCTAAGCCCCAAGGTGGGCACTGTTAGAACATCTCATGTGGGCAGCATATAGATCTGGTATCTCTTTTTTTGTTTTGTTTTGTTTTTTGTTTTTTTGAGACGAAGTTTCGCTCTTGTTACCCAGGCTGGAGTGCAATGCGCGATCTCGGCTCACCACAACCTCCACCTCCTGGGTTCAGGCAATTCTCCTGCCTCAGCCTCCTGAGTAGCTGGGATTACAGGCACGCGCCACCATGCCCAGCTAATTTTTTGTATTTTTAGTAGAGACGGGGTTTCACTATGTTGACCAGGATGGTCTCGATCTCCTGACCTCGTGATCCACCCGCCTCAGCCTCCCAAAGTGCTGGGATTACAGGCTTGAGCCACCGCGCCCAGCCTAGATCTGGTATCTCTTTGAGGTCATCAGAGCTCATGGGCTTCCTTGAAATTCATCTGTTGTTCCTGCCATATGCTACAGGAATATTCCTTAGTACACAAAATGCAGGGAGGAAGTAGGTTTAATATTCAACTTTCCTAGCCAGAGTTTATATTGAAACGCAACAGAAAACATTTAAAAGTTGTTCCACGTATTCACTATTAAAAACAAATGCCTTTGGTTCTTTAGCACATTTTACATTCCTTTTCACATCTCCAGTAAATGCCAACATATCTCCTGTTAAATTAGCAGCAGCCATTTAAAGTCCTTTCAGTGGCATCTGCATAATAATTGCCCAGAGATGCTTTATATCTGGGAAGCAAGCCAAGGAATAAACCTTGAAGCAAAGTGTATTAAATTAGTTATCTAGTTAGAGCTTTTGGAATGATTTCCTGATGATGTATCAAGTCTGAAGCTAGAGCTGTCGGTGTCTATTGCTGCAGTTTGGATTTGAAGGGAGAAAATTAAAAATGGAGGGGAAAAAAAAAAGTTACTTTCTCACAACAAAGCCATCAAGCATGTTCCAGCCCCTGCTTTTGAAGTTTTCCAGTTGGAATGTTTGGTTTCTTTCATCCGCACTCATCTGGACACATTGACCCAAGGTATTCATCCTTGTTTGCTGTGGTCCCTGGATCACGGGGGCTGAATCTGATGTCTTCATCCTTGAGATGAGATGAGCCCGCTGGCTAAGCTGAGGAATGTCCTGCTGAGGTTTATTTGTTTCCTTGGGTTCTGAGGATATATCAGACATATCACCTTTTAGCAAGAGTCTCCGGTAGCCTTTACAGATAGCATAGACATTGATACACACTTCTTTCCCCAGACAGGAAGTAAGGGCGGATTTAGTTGCATGAAGAAGGGATGGTAAACACTGGTTTCCTTACATAGGAGTAAAGGAATGAGCCTCTCTATTCAGTTGGAGCTGAACAAGATCAGGGAAGGTAAAAACACCTATATGAAATATTTTGAATCATAAGCTTTTGAGGAGCTTAAATTGAGAGAATTTTAATTTTGTAGACTGAAAAGAGGAACTCGTTTTTTTAAAAATTATAATTAAACTGCCATTGTTTTCCTAGGAGTCGCTTGGCTGTCTCTGCCCCCTCCTTCATCAGCCTGACGAAGGGATCTTTGTAGATTGCCAAGGGTAGGCCTTGTGGGACTGGACCGCAGCTTACACCTACCTCTATCCTACCTTCTTTCAGCTTATGCTTTTCAGTTATAAACTCCAGTGGGTACAGTAGGCTGGCCTTTTCATCCAGCTGATTATTTTTCCAGCTTAATATTGACTGACCTATATGAAATTTCCGATAGTGGACCACGTTTTCTGCGAATAGAGAATGTTCGCATGGATCACCTATGTCTTCCCCTTGTCACAGTGTGGATCCCAGCATCTGATGTCATTTCTCTTAAGTAGTGCTTATGAACACAGAAGGTGTTCCCCAGGCTGCCTTTGTGAGCCTGCTGCCTTGCTCATAGTGATCCTTGCATCACTCGGTGAATGGCACGTTTCCTCGGACGTGGACGTCTCAGAGGTGATAGTGCACTGCAGCTTCTCGTAGGCCGGATTGGCCATCAGGCACATTACTTTGAGGTTTTTAGCTGCTGTCCTTTCCTGATGTACAGCCTATGTTAGCTGACCTCAGCCTACTTGTTACATGACGTATGGGTCCCAAAGGTATTCTTTGTCCAAAAGCAGAATGCGACTTCTAGTCTCTCTCTCCCCCTCTAATGGTGTATTTGATGGTGAAGATGAGTACAGTTGACCCCCCCATCTGTGGGTCCCACATCCCTATATTCAGTCAAGAACAGATTGAAAATATTTGGAGGAGAGGGGAAACCCACAAAGTTCCTAAAATCAAAAGTTGAATTTGCCACATGCTGAATTTTACATTGAATTCATGCAAAAGAAGTGATTTGTAGGCATTGAGTTAGGGATTGTAAGTAATCTAGAGATGATTTAAAGTATATAAGAGATGTGCATAGGTTATATGCAAATACTGTGCCATTTTATGTAAAAGACTGGAGCATCCATGGATAATGGTATTTGCAGAGGGTCCTAGATTGCCCCCTTTGGTAAAGGACAGCCGTATAGTTATTGGTTTTCATTTGGGGAGGATATGTCAATCCCTTGAGGTGGGGTTTGGTGGGTAGAAAGTACAGGGTATTCTAGGATGTGTGCCAGGGAGCACAGATTCAAGGGATGGGATTGGGTCAGACCTGTGTTCTTCCTCAGTCAGAAATAACTCTTTGGAGCTCCTAGAGTAAGACATTTCTAGAAGCACCACATAATTACTGTTGGACTCTTACAGTAGCCCTTTGTGGGAATTTACCATTCCCACGTTTTACCAACAATTATTCTGCTGCCGTGTTTTATTGTAGTGCCCGTGGGTTTTGAGATGCTCATCATGCTCTTATTTAGTGATTTCTTTTCAGGAGCAGAGCAACAGCTCATCCAGCATGGTTTCCAAATGGAGAAATTTGGGTCTTCCATAGAAACGGCCCAGATTTTCCAGTGGCCTACACACAGCTTTATGGTTGGCAAACTAGTTGGCCCTATAGGGCGGAAATAAAGCTGTAAGATGTTAACCTGCATTTGACACTTCTCTTGAACTCTGAGCAAGGAAGCAAAATAGTTCTTGTCTTTACTTAAGCTTCTACGACATTTGGGGGCAAAGGACCTTACAGATGGCATCTGTTGAAAGTAACAGCGACAGGCAAATTCTGCCACCTCTAATGCGTTGTCCAGAAGTCAGTGTTATTCAGGGAGCCCTGTGGAACTTGACCACCCGCTTGCCCAGTCAGCACGCAACCTTTATCCTGCCTGTTCTCAGCTTTTGTGTTTCTTGTTTTTTTGTTTTGAGATGGAGTTTCGCTCTTGTTACCCAGGCTGGAGTGCAATGGCGCGATCTCGGCTCACCACAACCTCCGCCTCCGGGGTTCAGGCAATTCTCCTGCCTCAGCCTCCTGAGTCGCCGGGATTACAGGCACGCGCCACCATGCCCAGCTAATTTTTTGTATTTTTAGTAGAGACGGGGTTTCACCTTGTTGACCAGGATGGTCTTGATCTCTTCACCTCATGATCTGCCCACCTCGGCCTCCCAAAGTGCTGGGATTATAGGCATGAGCCACTGCGACCGGCCGCTTTTGTGTTTCTTTTAGAAACTCAGCTAAGTATTTTTATTCAGCAGACTATCTTTCTTAGCTTTACAGCTTAATATAACTGCACCTTCTTTCTCAAGGCCAAACTAAGATAGTCCCTATTAAAATGTCCATGAGCCTAGCATTGAATGTCTGGCATCAGTCAATTTCATAGACTGGAAAATGATTGTTATTTGGTGCAGCAAAGAGGAGGATGTGCATCAGTTCCTACTATTTGGAGCTTTGTTTAGCCTTCCCATTTTAAAAATAAATTCAAGGACATTGAGTTACAAGGCAGGAGGGCCGGGACTACTGGGCAGCCTGAATATGCTTAGAAAGTCATTGCTCCTTCCACTACACTTTGGGCCATCAGGACCTTTCTTTCCCAAAAGTGCCATGAACTTGCCCAAGAGGTTCTGTAAATGGGAAGAGGGAGAGGAAGGATTTTTGCATCAGTCCTGAAGTTGCTATCCAAAGTTTTTTGTTTCACAAATAATTTTCTGAACCCTGGAATGCCTCTCCTACCCTCTATATCCCTTTCTATAATGTCAGAGTGATGGAAACCACCAAGTGGCACGCTAGGGAAAGCCTGCAGCAGTGTTGGAATCTATTTCACCCTAGCTCATCGTTTTAAACGGTCTTCACTGTTGAGGTAGAGCTTGATGAATGTCATGGACTGTGATGCATGGTTTATCATATTTGCCTGGATTTGCCGCCCAAAAGCACCGTCTTCTCTCGCCTGCCACTGGCAGCCTTTCCTTGCCTGGCTTGTTAGCAGAGCATTCTGCTTACCCATGTGGCTTCCAGAGTTAGCAGCCCCAGCTCCTGCATGTCTTGATTCTTTTCCACTGTGATCTCAGAGGTGCGACAGAGCAAGTCATGTTTATATTCAGGCCACAAAACTGGGATGTACCTCCAGTGACTTTGGTGTTCCTTTGTCTTAGTCAGGGAAACCGGTGGGACTGGGGTGTGCAGTCACCCTCTTCATTCCATGAGCACCTTGTTCACTTAGGGTTCTGCTGCCTCTTCATATTTCTCTTATCTGCTTTATGGATCACCTGTTAACAGTACACTCTTTCTTTCCTGTACCTCCCCTGTGAGTGCAACCCCAACAAGAGTTACACCTCGTCAGAGAATCACTGCCTTTAACCTCTCCAAAATATGTAATTAGAAAATCTAATTTTAATTTTTTAAAAATTGCTCATATTGTTTCAAAGAATAAGATCTGGCAAATGGCCAGACACGGTGGCTCACACCTATAATCAAAGCAGCACTTTGGGAGGCCAAGGCAGGCAGATCACCTGAGGTCAGGAGTTCAAGACCAGTCTGGGCAATATGGTGAAACCTCATCTCTACTAAAAATACAAAAATTAGCTGGGCATCATGGTGGGCTCCTATAATCCCAGCTACCTGGAGGCTGAGGCAGGAGAATTGCTTGAACCTGGGAGGTGGAGGTTGCAGTGGGCCAAGATCATGCCACTGCCCTCCAGCCTGGGTGACAGAGGGAGACTTCATTTCAAAAAAAAAAAAAGGATCTGGCAGATGAAAAATAAATAGAAAGAAAATATCCAAAAACTTCAGCAAACAGGAAGCTCCCTTTCCCACCCTTTTGCTCCCTTGCTGATAATCACTTAGTATTATAAGAAATGAAAGAATAGACGGGAGCGGTGGCTCATGCCCGTAATCCCAGCTCTTTGGGAGGCTGAGGCGGGCGGGTCACCTGAGGTCAGGAGTTCAAGACCAGCCTGACCAATATGGTGAAACCCCATCTTAAAAAAAAAAAAAGAAAGGAATGAAAAGAGATTGAAAATGAAAAGAAACTTTTATAGATTGAGAGAGGCTATGTCTGGCAGAGTGATGTGTAGGCAGACCCCTTTGTCTCTAGCTTCCCCCTGCTGGACCATGCTTCCTTCATCATAGCCTCTTTACACAGACTGGCATTCTAGTGAACCAGGTGGTAAACCTTTGGGCTGCCCAGAAACATGTGCGAGTTTTATTTGATCCATTTTTACCTACCTAGGAAAGGATAAGATGAGCTGGTCCTCCAAAATCTGTATGTAAGCTCCTCCCGCAACCTCCTCCTTCTGGGAAACACAAAAGCCATCTCACCTGACAAAAGATTGTAGAGGATAAAGCTGAAAAGATTGGATTGGGATCTTTTTGTGGCGTGGGGTAGAGCCTTTTGCTAAAATCTCAAGAATGCTGCTTTGAGTTTAGCTGGGGTGGCTCTCAGAGCTCTATGCTCTTGAGCATAGAACTGAATGCTGTAATTCAGAGCCTTTTTTCTTTCCACCTTGAACACTGTACAGTTTTACTGCAGTTCGTTTGAACTTTCTTGCCACTGTGCGGAATCTTTAAAAATTCATTAGCCGCCTTCTTTCCAACATAAAGTTGCTCTTCATAAGAGATGAGTTCCTATGTATGTCCTTTGTTCCTTCAATAGCTAATTAATGTGCTTGAGGACACTTCAGTGGAAAAAAAGGTTTAAATATGCAGATTACTTTAAATGTGTACCCTTCCGTAACTTGTGTTGCATCAGATAACAAGCCTATGTAGTTTGTTTCACTGGACTGCACTTGTGGTCCTTCAGTATTTTGATGCTTTCCTTTTGATTCATAAAATGTTGTGAATTTTGGTATCATTAAAAAAAATTACATTTATTAGGTTTCATTTTGAAACGATGTACAGACACGTCCTCAACTTAGAAACCGGTTTGTTCTTAAGGTTCTTAGGTCAGCCCATAGAAGCCCACTGACCTCCATCACAGCCCAAGTGAAGGGCTGTGTCAGCCAGATCTGGTTGGCTTTTGTGGACTGACCTGGACATTTAATCACCATCTCTTATGTTGTTGCCGTTAGAAATGCATTCCAGGCTGGGACTTGGGATCCTGAGAGCACATTCTCCCCCTGTGGTGGCCGCTTGCTACCTTGCAAGGTGGAAGCCTAGTCTCCTTACTACCAAACGGTAGTTTTAAGCAGAGAGAGGGGTGAGATGTTTCTAGGACATTCCCTAAGCTGGGGAGTGATTTTTATCAATATTCATGTCAACTGTACTTTGGTGTAGACTCCCTATCAATTTAATAATATGAAAAGCCTTAAAACTATGCATGCCATTCTATGTGCTATTTTATATCAGTAAATAAGCTTATGCTTGCCAGTTGTATACACAGTTATGAGGTGTATAGAACTGACTGTGACAGTATTTTTTGCACTGTTTCCTATCTCTTTTTATAAAGTCTTATTTAGATATTGGTCCTTGTTTATGTTCTCACTGCCCTTGTGCTTGCTATAAAATGTTTCATACGTGCCTTTACAAATGTGAGATCTTTATTCTAACATTTTTTTGTAAAAGATATCTATTGATTTCCATATGCAATAAACCTTTTTTTTCAGAGAAAGCAGTTCACATCTTCTCTTTTCTATAATGTGTATGTTTGTGTTAGTTGAACTGCCTGGGGAAACCTGTTTGCTTTGTTTCCTAAGGCCCGTTTATTGCTACCCACGTTTTAGTCCTGCATGACCGGATCATACTGAAGAGTTAGTTTGAAATTCCCAAGGTTGTCACTATTAGAAGAAACCTGAAAGGGTTGATCACTAGGTAAGTGGAGTGAAGAATACATAGAAATGGGCTTTCTCCTAAATGCAGCGATGAGCCTCATTAAGCTCCAAGCCCCTCCTCACTCCACCTCCACTGTCATTTACTCAGGTACCAAACTGTTGATGTGGAAAAAGGCAGGCACCAACCAGGCTGCTGTAAAAATCCAAATCCTTTTGTCTTTCAGCTCAGTATGTCTCAAGGTTAAAAGGTGGCTGTCCTGTCCCAGACTTTTAGCCAATAACTGCCATCGCACATACAGGTGATCCCCTCCCTTGTATGTGAGTAGATGCTTTATGTATCTTCGGTAAGTAACAGAGAAATGTAACCACTTCTCCCAGTAACGTATTGACAACGCCCATGACTATACAAGGGGTCATGGAACTACCAGAGATCCCAACTCGTTTCACATCAAAAAAATTAGAATACCGTAGGCCACTCTGGGGTTAGAGGATATAGGAAGCAAATCTTTGCTTTGTTGCCAAAGTCACGTATAATTCTCTATCGGGACTTTGGCAACAAAGCAATTAGAATGATTGAAAGACTACATAATGTTAAAAAAGATGATAACAGACAATATAGGCCAACGGAAATGGAGAAATGGAGGAAAATCGGGTAGAATGGGAAGACAACAGATACACTAATTTATTTTCTCTTTTGTGAGCTGAGCAGATAGAACTAGTTTCTTTTCTTTCATTGATAAACAGAAAAAGTAGAAGTTTATTACATAATTGAGAGAGAAAACAGTAACCTCAGAGACGTATTTGTCTCCAAGTATACTCTTAGCAGAGCTGGGGAAAATTTTTTTTTAAAAGAAAGAAACAGCAAAATTCCCCGCAAATCTGAAGATAAATATAAGAAACAGCAGTGCGCACACACAAATATGAAACAAGCTGACAAAACCAGAATCAAATGTCTATTTTATGTGATTCGACCTCTGATTTTCTTTAATAAAAATAAATGGGAAAAAAATCACCAGATTTACTAGTTGAGAAACATAATGGGGGGAAAAACCTCAGCTAAAGAAAACAAAAATCTAACAAAAGGCATAAATGAGACTAGTATAAACACAGCAAAACTCCTTCTGAGGCAAAACTCACACAAATTGATAAATTTACCACATTCTTGAATAGGAAGACTCACAAAGAGGCCAGTCCAAGTCCAGTAAAAAAATCACAACAGCACCAGAAAAATTCAAGGGGACCCGGAAGGACCAGCCCCAGTATAAACTAAAAGTTTTACAGTGCAACAGTATAAAAGAGTATTTTACTGGCGTAAGAATAGATTGGTGGCATGAAATACTGCAGAAATAAACCAAAGTCTTAGGGAAATGATAATGGCACCCTTCCTAATCTCCATGGGAAAGTACTAAATCATTCAGTAAGTAATTCAATAAATGAAAATTATTAAGGAGTACCATGGGATATTTTATTATTTTTATTTATTTGAGACTGGGTCTTGCTCTGTTGCCCAGTCTGGAGTGCAGTGGCACGATCTTGACTCACTGTACCCTGTGTCTCCTGGGTGCAGATGATCCTCCCACCTCAGTCTCCAGAGTAGCTGGGACTACAGTCATGCACCACCATTCCTGGCAAATTTTTGTATTTTTCGTGGAGATGGCTTTTTTTTTTTTTTTTTTTTTGAGATGGAATTTTGCTGTTGTTACCCAGACTGGAGTGCAATGGCACAATCTTGGCTCACTGCAACCTCCGCTTCCTGGGTTCAAGTGATTCTCCTGCCTCAGCCTCCCGAGTAGCTGGGACTACAGGCATGCACCACCATGCCCAGCTAATTTTTGTATTTTTAGTAGAGACAGGGTTTCACCATGTTGACCAGGATGGTCTCAATCTCTTGACCTCGTGATCCACCCGCCTCGGCCTCCCAAAGTGCTGGGATCACAGGCTTGAGCCACCACACCCCGCCCCTACTTTTTTTTTTTCTTAAGACAGTCTCTGTCACCCAGGCTGGAGTGCAGTGGCACCATTTCGGCTCACTGCAACCTCCGCCTCCCAGGTTCAAGCAAGCAATTGTCCTGCCTCAGCCTCCGGAGTAGCTGGGACTAGAGGCACGCACAACCTTGCCTGCCTAAACAATTAATATTACTTTTATAATAAACCAGTAATAATTTTTTTCACTTAAATATGAAAACAGCCTTTGTACAGCAAGTGTCATGAAAAATAAAGTTAATGGACAACCAGAGTAAAAGTTTTTTTGTTTTTGTTTTTGTTTTGAGACGGAGTTTCAGTGTTTTACCCAGACTGGGGTGCAATGGCATGATCTCAGCTGACCACAACCTCCGCCTCCTGGGTTCAAGCAATTCTCCTGCCTCAGCCTCCTGAGTAGCTGGGATTACAGGCACGCGCCACCATGCCCAGCTAATTTTTGTATTTTTAGTAGAGACGGGCTTTCACCTTGTTGATCAGGATGGTCTCGATCTCTTCACCTCGTGATCCACCCCCCTCGGCCTCCCAAAGTGCTGCGATTATACGCATGAGCCACCGTGCCCGGCCAACAAAAATATTTTTAATATATGACAAGGAGCAAATACTCCAATATACACTAAGCTCATGGGTTATTATGAAAGACATTAACAAATAGCAAAACAAGCATGGCCATTGCGGTATCATAGAAAAATTTGGAATTTTATAATAAGGGTGATAGGAGCCTCTTCTGTTTTAATGAGACAACTCTTAGTGGGCCCCTGGATAGCTTCAGAATGGGGATGGGTCTTCAGAAAGACTAGGAGTTGATTAGGAGCTTAGAACTTTCCGCCCCATCCCCAACCTCTAGAAAGAAAGAGATCCTAGAGATTGAGTCCATTTCAATGGTTAATTATTTAATCAATCATGCCTATAATGTAATGGAACTGCCATGAAACCCCTGACCAATAGTGTTCAGAGAGCTTCTGAGTTGGTGACTACTCCACATGCCAGGAGGGTGGCATACCACAGCTCCATGAGAACAGAAGCTTCTGTGCTCAGGATCCTTCCAGACTTTACCCAATGTACCTCTTCACCAGCCTATTCATTTGTATTTTTTATAATAAACCAGTAATAGAAAGTAGTGTTTTCTAGAGTTTTGTAAGCCATTCTAGCAAGTTAATGAACATAAAGTAAGGGAGGAGATGTTGTGGGAACCCCTTGACTTTGTAGCCAAGTCAGCCAAGTATGGTTAACCTGCGGACCTGATACTTGTTGACCGGCATTTGAAATGAGGGCAGTCTTGTGGGACTGAGCCCTTAAACCAGTGTTGTCTGACACTAACTCTGGGTAGTTAGTGTCAGAGTTGAATTGAATTGTAGGACACAGAGTTGGTGTCTCAAGAGTCAGAGAATGGCTGGTGTGAGGCACAAAAACAAAGCCACACATTTGGTTTCAGAACTGTTGTGAGTCAGAACAGCTCATATTGGTGTCCGACATGGGATTAGAAGGATCCTGATTATTTAGTATCAGAAAATTTAGGATTCACTAGAATGGTCCTAGCTAATGGAAAAGTGTTGGGAAGAAAAAGGATGAAAGGGTGGGAGACACAGAACCTTTGATTCCTGGGTAGTCACCCATGATATGGACCAGCATGACAGCTATGCTGTTATCAGTGACTAAAAGTAAGTTACTAACGGAATTTGGAGTAGGATCTAACTCCTGAGGAATTGGTTCACTGGATGCATAAGGAAATGCAAATGAATAAGAAAAAAGCAGAATATATAGTTCCTTGGTTTTTGTTGTATCTGTAATAGCTAAAGTGAAATTAAAAGAGTGTTGGCTGAGCTGGGCGCGATGGTTCACGCCTGTAATCCCAGCACTTTGGGAGGCCGAGGTGGGTGGATCACAAGGTCAGGAGTTCAAAACCAGCCTGGCCAATATGGTGAAACCCTATCTCCATAAAAAATACAAAAATCAGCTGGCGTGGTGGCATTCACCTGTAGTATCAGCTGCTCGGGAGGCGGAGGCAGGGGAATCGCTGGGTGGAGTTGGATGCTAAACCAAGCTCAGATTTCAGACACTCTGACCTTTGGCCACTAGCCTTGAAGCTGCCCTAAGAGGGTAGAATTTGCAGAGACAACAGAGGGTACCTCGAAGTCCTCTGGTCACTAAGATGGTGGTGTGTTGGCAGGGTGGGGAGAGGCCACAGGAGGGGCAGTGTGGAAGAGTTGTCTCATTTGTAGATCAGTATCATCAGCTTCCTGAAAACCCCTTACTAAAATGGATTCTGCGAGTAACTAATTTAGAGACAGTATCTTTGGTTTTGAATGCTGCAGGATGGAAGAACGTGTTTGGGTTGATACAGGACCCACTGCTCGCTGTGGAACAATGGCAGGTGGCTATATCTGACCCAGACGCACAGCAGGTTTTTCCTGAAGGAACAACCAGCCTGGTGGACTGGATAAAAGGCACCCTGAGGTATGTTTACTCCGAGAAGTGAGGCTGTCCAGCTCCCCCTGTAAATGTTAAAAGAAACACTCCGATGAAGTAGCTGATAAACTGTGTATGCAAGTCATGTGGGACTGGCTTTTTGGTAATTGGGACAGTCACCCATTGAATATGCCCGTTGCCAAGATCATGGTCAATTCTATGATTAAGAGGCATGGGTGTCGCATGTAACTTTACTGCTGCAAAATTGAGCAATGCTCTTAGAGGCCCTATCAAATCTGCTATCTCTGCTTCCTCTCATGGTTCTCAGTGATGCTAATAAAAACACTAGATTAATTCACAGAAAAATATGAATTAAGCAGAGGGCCTAGGTGTGAAAGGCAGAGCGATGAGTCCAGGTATTCATCCTAAGAGGGTGGACATGTTTAAATGGGTTAAG